TCCCCCGCGCTACAGGCAGCAGGCGCCTTACGTTCTTTTTCTCCCTCTCCGCCACCTCCTCTATTTCCACGTACCTGTGATCCTTGTGGGCGGTCACCACGCAGTGCAGACAGATTACCAGATGGCAGGTGTCGCAGTGAAATTTGTTGATTTCGCCGTGCCGGGGGCACAGTGCGGTGTTGTCGTCCCCGCCGCGGTCAGCCATAACGGGGCTCAAGTTGTCTGTAGACACGATGTTATGCGCCCGTGTGAGCTTAAGCCTGCGGTGGGCGTCCGTACACACCTGACACAGGTGCTCCTGACAGTCCACACAGTAGGATGTAGCGCCCGTACCGGTCGAACAGACACGGCATATGGTGACGTCGGGTGCGTTTGCCGGCGGTCTTCCTGGTTTGGTGACGACGTCACGGAGTTTGGACACTAGGAAGTTGTCCTTTAGCCCCTGTACTCCGCCGGGAGGGAGTGACAAGTCTTGCCGGCAGGTGGGGCACGACAGGTTCGGGCCCACCTGGGCGGTGAACAGCTTCTCCAGACATGCCTGACAGAAGGTGTGAAGACACGGGAGAATCTTCGGACGCTCGAAGTCGTTATAACAGATCTGACAGACCAAAAACTCCTCGTTAATCTCGCTAACAAGTCCAGCTGCCATACTTGTCAGGGAACGGGACACCCACTCCCCGAACACGTCAGCCGTGACGTCAGGTAGCCTTCCTATCGTCCGGAAAGCAAACACGGTTGCCTTGGCGACCGGCGGTATGAGGCGGCATTGTTAAAAGTCGTGCGAAATTTTCATCATCAACCTCTCGGGTGAAAAATTGGATTCTTGCGACTCCGGCCCTCCGTATAAGACATTCCTTGTGAAATACTTCATGCCAGCTTACGCAAGCTGAAGAACGCCATCAATATTAATGCTTCAGTTAACCTCAACCCCACGAAACAAGCAATACAGGACGCACCGCACGCATGGTTACAACCTTGGGGGAAAGCTTGTTAGCACGACCGGTCCGAAATACGTCGTTTCTACAACCACAGAAGACATCCTACCGTCCATTCTACAAGCCCACCACGTTAAAACTGAGGAAAACTCATTAATTCTAACACGGTTTCTGTCACATAAAATGATTATTTACCACGAGCGAGGGACACGTGGCAAAACATGAATACTGCATGTAATACTGACTCATACATACATACAAACATGCCGCATCATGCTTCTGAAGTTAGCGTTTATATAGCTTCAAGGCTGGGCATGCTAAATCCCCATCTAGAATCATTTGAATATATACCCACGGCGGTCTGTCACTACGGCATTCTTTCCCATTGCTATGCGCGTTCTAAAAGGTATCGGGTTACAACACGCTATTTTGGCCTGTTTTGGACTACCCGTAAAATATTTGAAAATACACAAATAATATTTAGGGGTAAATTTCGTTAAATTAAAATGAAATTATTGTCTTAACATCCTTTAAATGTTAGCTTTTTATGTTAAATCAATGATTTTTTAAAATTTCGCTCAGAAAGACGATCATTTTCGGGTTTCCGAGCACAAGTCATGTCTCGTTTTTAAGCAAACATCGTTCAAACCTGGCTACGTATATTACCCCAGATCCCCGATTTTTATATTTTTCGCAGACTAGGAATAAGACAAAAATCGTGTTTTAGGGATTTTTTAATTTCTGATTTTAAGTCTAGTTTTTGTCGACATATTGGTGAAAAAATGGCATTTTTGACATTTTTCTCACTAAATTACCCATAATTCAAAATTGAGGCCATTTTTCAAAAATCCCTAAAACACGATTTTCGGGACAACCGTTACAGTCATTTTGAGTCGTAAATGGGGTATGTTTGACTCTCCATGTTCCCAGGTTTGAACGAGTTTTGGAGACATGTCATATCGCCAGAAAGTGTGCATTGTGTTATTCATACTGGCGTAAAGAATCATTACAGTATTCAAGGTCACTCAAGGATACGACAGTAGCTTCGCTACATGTTACATGTCCACCAAAAATAATAGCGGACATGTACTGTCCAGGAAACTGTTTGTATCTATAGAAAAGTGTTGTTTTTTATCTGTTGCAAAGCACGGAGGTAGAAAGGCTTGTTTTGCCGCTGTATAGTAAATGACCGCAGGTGACCCCGAAATAGAACGCGGGTTCGATTCGAATTCCCCAGATCGAACACGATCGAACACAGTTCGGGTTCTATGACATGTGGGAACTTTTCAGCCCAGATTTTACCACCGTGACCATTCGCGTTACATGTCTCAAAAGTTAGTACCGGTAATGTCTTCTTTGTATGTATACACATCGTAGACAATATGTTCTAGTACATACAGTTTTTAATGTAGCAGGGCTTGCAAGCCAATTGCTTTATATTGTCGCCGCCAGTACTTACTAGTGTGTCGTGACTCGCATGCATGGCTCTAATGTAAGGGACAGAAACGCCTGGGGGATTTTGATTGAGATTGGAATAAAGACTACTGACGACTTCTCTCTGTGCAACAGGTGCACGATAAAGAAATCACAATTAGGAGGGCTTCAGGAGAAAGAATTACAGACGTGAAAAATGTCTCATTCTTATCCCTCAAGACGTCTAGATATGGGGAGGGGCGAATTCTTGTTACAGTATCGAAATGAAACGTTGTCATTCCAAAAGAAGGAAACCCAGCGGGCACAGATTTCCGTTCTGTCATGCACATGTCACGAGACGTTTTTTTTCTCTCGAGCTTACATCTATTCTTAGTTTGGAAGCAAGCCAAATGGGAAGTAAGAGCCGTTGTCAGGGTAACGATGGCGCATGAAGCAAGTACCGGCATTGTAATCGAAGCCAGGGGCGCATCGAAAAGTAAAAATACCACTAAAGTAGCCCTACTAGGCTTCAGAGGCGACTGGAAAGAGTAACTGAAATTGGCCAACAAATTGGTCCAATAAAGGATCATAAAGGTATTACAGTTTGCCGCTCCAGGCATGTTATCTGTGTATTTGACCCATTTCTACGGTTTTCTATATAAGATTTATATAATGACTCAAGAACCAATACATGTAATATATTGCAAACCTTGGTACGAAGGTACGTTGGCCGACAGATTATATATAAAACATACATTGTAGTGTGTTGTTTGTTTAATGATGGCATTGTAATTTCCAGCTACCAATGCAGTATACAGTATTTAATCGCATATTTGTCTTCACGTTCTATTGCCAATTTACTATGCTTTCAAGAGTATCATTCCTGCATGGTATTCTTATACCATGACGTATAACTGTGTTACGTAATACCATCTCAGCAGGTGAAACTCCGCAAAATTGCCCTTCTGGTTCGTAATTTTCGTTCAAGATTTTTTTATTAGAATTCGCTAGTCCTAAGTAATTCTTGCCAGATGGTGAAACTCATGAACCCAGTTTGACGCAGGCTACACTGACTGAGATAGTCTTGTTGGATGGAGATGAGTTTGAAGATGACAACCCCGAAACCACCTTTCCTCACCTGCAATTTACCAAAAGTTCGCTACGAGTCGCTGCACACAAGACTGCGCATGTCCGTAGCCTGTCGTTACGACGCCATTTTTCGAGGCAACCAAATACCACTGGCCAGAATAACATTGTAACGGGAAGGACTAGAAGATTGGAATAACGGACTGAATTCTGCGGTTTTGCTCGACATATCGATACGTACCGGCCAAAGTCTATTCGCTGATGCTGTAGGGGATATTATGAAGGAGATGACATGAATTTCGGGTGAGTTGAGAAGGAAGGAACTTACTATATTATATGGGGGAGGGGGGCGATGAAAAATAGAATGTCTGAAAAAAGTTATTGGAGCATATCGTAACACATTTTGCGGGTATGTTGAGTTTCTTCGAAGTTCCTATTGCCTCCTCTTATCAACATAAGATTTATAACGACGACAAATATCATAAAAATGACATAAGTATGAAGAAAAAGTTCATCCAACTAGTTTATAAACAAATAGTAAATACTAGTATAATAATTTGTAAAGTGTGCCTACAATATTTTGAATCTTATTCTTAAACCCAACGTTAAATATGATGTTTATGTACTGTTTATCTGACGTTTGAACACAAGTTTTGATATGATTCTGTCATTCCAAAGATAATTTAGGATATGTGATATTATGTGATAACCACTATGATGAGTGTCAAATATGGCACGTAGAGAACAAATATGTTGTGTCGTTGTCAGTGTGATGTTATATCAGGTCATCTTATTCATGTTTTTTTCCGATGTCAGTGGGAACCTTGCAGTGCAGATCCATGATGGAAAGCCGGGCATATTCCCAGTCAGAGGTCAGTATGCTGTGTGCACCAGCTGTTGCATTGAGGCTGTTTTATGTGAATGTTTAAGATTAAGACCCTTTTCACATGCAGGAAAAAACAAACAAAAAAATGCGTACGCACATGAGCGTACAAAAACTCTGTAGCGTTACATCAAATTTTTTCTTCGTGTTAATGTGCGTCACATTTAGCCTGACTAAATCGCGCTCCTGGCGGCCGTCGCCCTAGGTTGCCGCCCTTGGGGTGGGGGTCATTAACCTCCGGCCGAGAGCTTTGTATACACAGGCTAGCGTCACATTCACATGGTACATTACCTCAAGGGCTGGTGTATGATGTGGACAGTTTTCCATTCTGATTTTTTCACTCCCTTTTTTAAAATCATGGATGACAATATTGATAAACCTAATAATATGTACACTGATTTACAAAGAAAGTTTCGTTTCATCCTGACAGGGCAACCCCAACCAAAGAAGAAAAAGGTAAGTGTTGGCTCTAAATTTTTTGTTTTCTGCTCATGAAAAAGTCAATTGTCATTTTATTTCATATTACCTGTTTTGAACGTTTTGATTTCACAGTATAAGTTTTTACTGTTAACACAATAACATTTGTGCCTCTAAGACAACACTGATTTCTGTGTGTCTTCTTTCTTTTACAGAAGGACATCTACCTGTCAAAGCAAAACAAACATCCTCTGAGAAGACCAGCTCAGGAGGAACCAGCCAATGAGAACAAGGATGGAGGACCAACATCCAATCAGAATCAAGCAAAGAAAACCAAACCAGCCAATAGAAAGCCTCCTCCCAATCCAAGGACCAAGAGGGGGAAGGATGATGGGAAGGGAACAAAGAATGATGGGAAGGCCGGAGAAGGGACTGTGACTCTGACACAACAGCAGCTGAATGCGATATTGGCTTCCATAGGCAAGGCAACAGACACAAGTAGTGCTGTCAATGTTCAAATCGGTAAGTAGGGATTTTCCCTGTCAGCAAAGATTTTCTTTTCTGATGTTGCAATGACTGGTTTCAAGTGGATGTAAGTCTGCACAAATTTAATTCGTTGGTTCTCAGATTTTTCCGCAAAAAATTTGAAGTGACTGGGAAAAAACAGGCTAAGGCATCAGATATAATAGACTCAAATGCTATGATAGGAGCCATGAAGTCAACATACCAGGCTGGTTTGTAATTCAAAGTGAGCATTTTGGAGTTAATTTAGTTAATTTTTTTTGAAAATCAGAAAAAAATGAAGAGGTCATATTCAATTGATTAAGTTGGTATCTCTCTTGTAGAAAAAAATTTATTTTGCATTTTCTTCTCCAGAGCGTCATTTTCTTGCATCCTCTCTTTCAGAAAACAATGAGGTCAAAATTGTATCCAATGAAAATGGACCACAAACGAGCGGTGAGACGTCAGGCCCAACAGACGGTTCCGGAGACGCTGGCCAGGCGGTCAGTGGTCAGTCTGACCCTCTTGTGGACCCGGCCCCTGCCCAGCCAGCTGAGACGGAGACCACCACCCCTGGGGAAGAGACTTTACAGGGTCAGGAACAACCCAAAACTGAACCTACACAACAACAACAACCAGATAACACACACAGGTACAAATGTACAACTACATATTCTAACATGTATAAACATTTAAACATTTATCTCAAAGAAAACACCAACATTTAACCAATGGTACTTCCTGGTCTGTCACTAGCAGCTTGTATCGAGTGGTTAGGTAATGAGTATGTTTCCTGTTTGTTTGTTTGTTTATTAGGATTTCTATTACATAAATTGCACACTATTCTTCCTGGAGTCTGCATGAGTGATGATGTAAATGGCTAATACAAGACGGGGGTTTGCCATGCCTCCATCCCACTGATTTGTAGTAAATCATCGACTTTCAGATAGTAACTACTGGTATTTTGACTGGGGCATGCCCTACTCTATTTTGAATGATGTGGTAAGTTCTTTAATGTGTGTGGGGTGTGGCTGTCCCCAAACACGGGACCAATATTAACGTCCTACCCGAGGGACGTCCCTAACCAAAGCTAGGTACAATGTAGTGTACTGTCATTTTCACCTGACTGAGTGAAGTGAGGAAAGTTGTGTAGAGTGCCTTTCTAAAAGCACAACATGGGGGCATGTTCTGGGCCAATCCCAACCATTACTCTACACAGTCCCACCTGTGAGGGTTGTTATAATAATGTGTTTACTGTTACTAGCCACTGTATTAGTCATCCTCAGCTAGTCTCTATGTTATGAATATTTGATGACTGTACAAGAGTATTACATCAGTGCATGACACTGTATACATGCGTATATTGATGTTTCTGCACTTCATTGTTGACAGGCTGTGGCATATCACACATGCACATCTAACAAAAGTACTGTACCAAAACAGAAGTGAAGTTGAAAGGGGAATTATGTACATGTAATATTTTTCAACCAAAAATTGAAATTTTTAATTGTTCGTGTGATTGTAATTCACTTCTACTTTTCAACATATTTGTGGAATCATCTCACATTTCTGACATTTATGGTTGGCGCTAAAAACAGCACACACGAGGTGCACTCAGTTTGTGGCACCACCACAAAATACTAGAATGTAAACAAACATGGCTGACAGCTGTGTTTCCAGTTTTTCACCACACTGGTAAGGTGTAATGATTTGGCACCTCGGCACCTGGAATGACACTTACACGTATTTGCAATGGAGTAGGGTTGATTCAACCAACTTGTATACCGGTAGCGAGTGATTGACCAGAAAGTTGACTTTTTGTATCATCTTAATGTTACATAATGCAGCTTTAAATTGGGTTGTTCATCTTGTGTGTTTATGTATGTTTGCAGTACTAAACAGCAGTCCAGCTATGGAGGCCTGTTGTCTACTATTGGTAAGGAGGAGGAGGACAAGAGAACAGCAGCTGAGTCCAGGAAGGCTCAACTCAGGAGAGAGTTAGGTAGGACAGGCTTCAGAGTTATATACTAATACATTGTCATTTTTCCTGCATACAGCTGTACATGCTCATGTACTGGTGCAAGTAACATTGAAAATTACCTGCACCAGACAAATTTTACCTGCACCACTCAAAATCTAGTAAGTATGGATCATACTAAAACTGTTTCGAAACCATTGTCACCATTTTTTGTACTACATGGGTAGTAACAGTCAATACAGCAAATAAAAGCCCACATACACCTACATGTCTACAGAAATACCTGCAGCAATTGCAATACCTGCACTAACCTGCAGATGGTATTGTGGTATTTTGATCATGAGCCCTGCATATACAAAAGTATTGTTTGAACTATTCTTTATTCAGTGCTTAGTTTTGGTGTAGATTTCCAGCAAGTGGTTTTAGAGAAATTCCAACAAGGGAATTTGTTGTGATAATTTCTTTTTGAACTGTTCAAATTCTTTGTGTGCATGATGTGTACTACAATAACTACCAACAGTTTGTAATCATGATTGTTGAATGTACATTTGTATTTATTTTGTAACTAATTATGTATCTCCATGACCTTTGGGAAAAACGGATTAGGACCATTCAATAAAAATAAAAGCATTCAATCAATCAAAAACCTTGTAGATTGACGTCAACACATTGTTTCTACACAACTTTTCATTGGATTTCTCCCCACAGAGGAGCAGATAGCAGATAAGAAGCGTAGGGACCAACAGGCGCGGGACCGGTCAGCAGTGGAGCGGGCACGACCGGTGGAGGACTACGTTCCGTGGGGACGTCCCGGGGCGGGCGCGCCACTACGGTCGCAGTCAGGGAAGGTTGTTGCGGAGTACGGGGACACCAGAAGGGTCAGGACTACAGTTTGACATTTGACAGCATGGATTTTTAATGGTTTTCGTTGGATATTTGGTCAATGTTGCATTAGAATTGGGCCTGTTGCAGACAATATCTTTTCCAACAAAATATTTGAAAACTGTAGACAGGATGCCATCCTTAAATATACAAATACATGTATGACCTTAAATGAGACGTTCTGCCAAATTGCTATACATGTACTGTATCTGTGTGAAACTCGGATTTTTCATGGTTTTTTTAGATGCTTGGTCAACGTTGCATCAGAATTTGGCCTGTTGCAGACGAAATCTTTTCCAACATAATATTTGAAAACTATAGACAGGATGCCATCCTTAAATGTGCAAATATGACCTTATAAACGAGACATTCTGCCAAAGTGCTGTACATGTACTGTGTCTGTGTTAAACCCGAATTTTTCATGGTTTTCATTGGATGTTTGGTTAATTTTGTACCAGAATTTGGCCTGTTGTTCTGACACAACATCTGAAAACTATAGACAGGATGCCTTTCTTAGATATATGTGAATATGACCTTAAACAAAATGTTCTGCCAAAGTGCACATGCACAATACATTACAGGTTTTAGGCAAGCATAGTCATTTCTGCTGATGTGCAGCCTTTGACATATATATGTATGTTCAGTAACCGAGGCTGGTTTTTCACTACATGTATCTGTCCATTCAATGTTAAATGTACATATATCTAGTTAACTCACTCATTTTATATCCTTACTCTGTAACAGTCCCTACAGCAGAAAACCTCTCCCAGGGCAGCTGACGACACAGCAGCTGTGCAGCAGACAGTAGCGAGACAGCAGCCACAGCCCAACCACACACAGTCACCAGGCCAGTCTGAACCGGCTCCAACCAGTCAGGCCCACCTGGCTGTCTCCACTGTGCCACCTCCACATGCCATGAGGAGCTCTTTCACTATAGGGGTAAAAAAAATGGATGTTGATGTGAAAAGATTATTTGATTTGATTTTATTGGAATTATAACAAGACAAAACATATAAGATACAAGCAGCTACATGTATCTTTGTTCCACCCTAGGGTACAGCCCCTGGTGATGACCAGTATGTCACAACAGATCAAGATGAGAAGAAGAGATGGCTACAGGAACTAGGTGAGCCTTATCCTAGTTCTTCTTGTTTTTTAGCCAAGATCTGTAAGATATTGAAAGATAGTGACATGTTTAACAAGATGGAGTAGTATGTATACTCTAAATCACTTTATGTTTGCACTAGTATAAGTTTGCGGTCTGAGAAAATGAACATGTTCGTGGAACTATACGTTTGCAGTGACGGCAGGTGCAGCAAAAAGAAAGTTGGTGAATCATTTGTTCACGGTAATGATACGTTTGAGGTACGGAATTAACTGTGAAAACCGTGAATGTAAAAGTACTGCAAAAAATGTATGTAAAAAATGTTCAGTACCCTAAATGATGATAATGATGATGATATACACTAATAATTACACTTGATGTCTGTTTTATCTGTAGAAAAACAGAGAGAAGAAGCCAGACAGAGGAAACAGAGGGAAAGGCAGAGGGACAAAGAGGTAAGGCCTTGCTACATGTACGTATGGGGAAGGAGATATCCATCTGCGGAGGGTACCATTTTTACTCATGTTTATATGTTCACAGCTGTAACTCATGATTGGTTTGAATGATTTCTTTGATTTTCATAGTACACGGTATATGAAAAGCTTCTGTGACAGAACAACTTCTTACTTTCAGCCTAACATGGAAGGACATTTTACAGCTACAATCCAAGATGTCTCAATCAGGGTGATAAACCATTGTAATGACTCTGCACTATGCTGAAGTTTAAATTTTTTTTTTACATTTATCAGCACTGGAAAAACATTCTTTTACACTTTTCATTTTTGATCACAGAACATGGAAATTTAAACTTTTCATAAGGCAAGCAACCATAAAGTTAACTTACTATGGCTAAGTTTCTTTAATATCACCACCTTTTGTTGTTTTTATGGAATCTGATGAACATTTGTACACAAACTTTTCTTTTGCTGTGTTGTTCATTGTGTTTGCATCTAGCCAAGAAAAGTACTATGATTCCTAATTTTTTTGCAGCGCTTTTACATGTATGTTTTCACGGTCACTAGCTTGAAGACAAAGTGAATTACAGAATAAAGAGACTTTTTTTACACAACCAAGTGTTTTATTCAGTCAATGTTTTGGTGACCGTCTGTCACCTTCCTCAGGACTGGTTCACATTGCACAGCACAGGTGTTTCTGCTATACATATCTACATCTTCATCCATAATACATCTATAGCAGCAACACCTGTGCTAGTACAATGTGGACCAGTCAGAATTGCCATGAGGAAGGTGGCAGACGGCCACAGAAATGTCGGCTGAATAAAACATTTGGTTGTGCAAAAAGAGTCTCTTTATTCAGTGACTTACATGTACCAACCTGATGAAACTACATGTATTCAATTCGAAAGTGAAGTACAGTTTACTGTACTGATTCCCAGCATATTTCTCCAATCCAGGGAGGGGGTATGGATGCGTGGACTCGTCACTTCGATACGTACCACCCCACGGCAAGAGAACCCCCCACGGCCAGGGGAGCCGACGCCCCGCCCCCTGTCCCAGAGCCCCGCCCCCAGCCGGCCCAGTCCCCCACCCCTGGGGCACAAGACGCTGTGGTACAGGAGACCGACCAGCATACCACTCCGCGGACTTCCTTAGAGAGAAGGTAAGCACACTTCTGTTGGTTATACTTATAGTGGGTCTTTTCCTGATCTACATGGTACATATATGGTAACAAACACTCATAACTAGGACTCAGTGATGTAAACTAGATTGTGATTTTAGTTACATGTAAAAATTGTAAAAAGCTTGCATAGCATCATGATGAAAAACATTTCCAAATTTTAGAAGGATTTTTTTAGAGAAAATTTTTTCAGACATCCCAATTTTGTTGAAATAACATTTTGAGCCCTCAGAAAGCACGAGGTATCTCATGCTCCCCAGGAAAAGTTTGAAACCTCTGAAATACTTTTTCCTGCATGTTGAGAGGCAAATTTTGCTGGTAGACTAAACCCAGCCTGCAGTCTAGTAACGGTTCTTTCCATATCTTTACTTGCCAATTTTTGACAGATCGGAGAAAATTTTTGTCCGTCACGAGCGGGAACACTAGATTTGAATGTATTGTTGTATATGCTTCAATCCCATAACCAATGCAGTGCATGTAACCTGCTCTAACTGCATAACCAGTATGCCATATAGAAATTTTGTTGTGGTTCTCAATGATAATAACATGATGCTTGCCTGTGCATGATCCGCCATGTTACGCCTGTGTTACAGACCTGAACCCTCACCCCATGATGATGAGTCTGTGTGAGTATTTATTGTCCCAAAGTCATGGTGATCACTACTACTAATACATTCTTTCCTTCACATGCCTCGTCCAATGGATAGGTTTTACACTGGAGTTCACTTTGCACATAACATGCACGTATGACAGGGCTCGAAATTCATTTTGGGGAATAGGTGCACTGGTGCACCCAACCTAAAAATTTAGGTGCACAAAAATTTTTTGGGTGCACCATATAAAACAAAACCTAATTACAGATCTTATTGCTCCTCTTCTGAGCTTGAATCTGAAATGGGAGCTAACTTCAAAATCTTAAACAAGTACCTCAACAAAGATTTTATTTTCTGACACTTAGATGCCAAGAATATCCTGCATACTATTATAATTTGATATGTACAAAAATACCTACAAATATATTTGGGTGCACCAGTGCACCCACAGAAAAAAATTAGGTGCACGACTCCAATTTTAGGTACACTAAGGTGCACATGCACCCAGTATTTCGAGCCCTGACATAACATGCTTGTATGTCCTGTGCACAGAACAATAATAAATTGTGTAACTGCAACATTGTAATTATTATTCCTTGTCACCCTAACAGCACATAACCTGCACCAGTATTGCCTGCACTTGGTAATTACGTGTACCACAATCACAAATGCACTCCATACAGTACTGATATCATATTTCCTTAGTCAATTAATCTATTATCATTTCATTGATGCTTTTTGTCTGATAGAAATTAGACATCTTATAAAATCTTAGTTTGCTAAAGATTACATCTGAATTTACCAGTCTGTATTTGCTATATTAACCCAGTTTGCTGTCTCAACACATACTCTACACCTCTGTCCCCTAACTATTTTCTTTGAAGTTCTCTTTTCAGTCCAGTCTACCTTTCGTCCAAAAAAGTCAACATGGAAAACCAATCTCGTCACCTGGCTTATCCTTTGGTATTGTCTCTTACCTGTTTTATCTTGCTGTCATTGGTCAGGTTACTCATCAAACCCTGGCAGACAGGACTTGGAGATATCCTCTGTACTCTTCACCCTCTATACTGGTATATGGATACATACAATATCTGATATCCCTGTGGATACATGTATGTCTTTGTACAGAAACTTTTTGCGGACGGGTGCAGCCCTGAAGGACCCCGCCCAGCTGGAGGAACTGGAGAGAAGACGGCTGAAAGACCTGGAACATAAGGTAACTTCATCATATACACGTCATTCAGATATTATGCAGTCACATTTAAGCCTAGGAAAAAAATGTTGTGTTTCCTCTTTCCCAACCAACCCTAGAAAAAACTCCCAAGCCTTTTTGGTATGGACCCCTGCAAGGGACATAGATTTTTGAGGTTAATCAGCCTTTTCTAGCTCCATGATCTGACACCTGGGTGATGAAATATTGTACAATGGGTTTTCCAACATTGATGTTGAAAAATCAAAACATACATGTAAATGTCATCATGCAAATTTTACTTTGTTAAAATGTATACAAGTATAAGTTGGATCACTAGAGATTGCCAAAGTCTAACAAAAGACAAAGAAAAAAAAAAGATTTTTTCAGGACTGAAACAGGAAGCACAATATTTTTTTCCTGGGCCTTAGTGTGTACAGGGTGGGCTACGTTTCTCATTTTCCATCCCTCTGCTGAGTACCTCCTCCTAGACTAACTAGATTGACTGATGGTCTTGCAGAGAGCAATCCAGGAACAGGTGGAGGAACGACAGCGGGTGAAGCGGGAAGAGCGCGAGCGTCGGGCGCGGGAGGAGGCGGAGGAGGAGCAGCGACTGGCGAGGGAGCGACAGACGCTACAGGACCAGTTCGACCGAGAACTACAGGAGCAGAGGAGGAAGGAGGTAGAGTCTAAACACCTAAAAGTATTTCCAAATCTTCCATTCTTTGTACAGTCAAACCTGTAACAGCTTTGATTGTAAGATGCACAAACTGGAATATCACGTGTTGTCTGTAGGTAAGGTCCTGTATATAAGGTGTGCTGCAGCTGTCATGTTTGTTTACATTTTAGTATTTTGTGGTGGTACCACAAAAAGAGTATGACTCATGAGGGCTGTTTAATTACCAAACGTGAATGTCAGAAATATGAAATAATTGCTGAAATACAGTTTGTTAAAAAGTGGACAAGAATGACCATCACACGAAGATTTTGTCTATCAATATATTTCAATTTTTGGTGCAAAAATGCTACATAATGCCCCTTTAACTGAAAACTAGTTGGCTTGGATAAGGCAGTTTCTCTCATCTGTTATCATACACTCTTATGTGTGTGAACTTCGGTTCCATTGCACCATACAAGAAACGGAAACAGCCAGTATCTACATGTAGCTCATATTGAATGTTTAAATGTAATGATAAGATAGCAAATTTTAAAGTTAGACCTACATGTACAGCTTGCTTGGCTTCTGTGTTGGAATGTTGCACTTTGTTTTTTCGGTGGCAAACCTCAGGAGCTTCTGAACCAGAAGACAAAGCTACTGTTTGAGTCCATGCAGCAGGCTGAACAACAGGCACTTCAGGTAGTAAAAATTTCTTCACTCCTTTAATAGTAGCAAAGTTTTTATTAATGGCTATTGTTTTTTAACAAAAGATGTGAAGATAATTGTTTTTTTACTGGTTCACTGTGCTCCGAAGCTAGGTATTACAATTGTGATATACAAGTACATAGTTAGATAGTGTTACAACATAGTGAAATATGCAGTGACAAATTTGAAATTAAGTTTAATTGTATGCAAGCACTGGTACAAAACACAAGTCATGTATAGTCCCTCTTCTAACTAAGCTTAGGCATGCATAGGTGTTACTGCCACAAATTCTAGTATCCAAATATTATTCACCTGACATAAACTTGATAAAGCATGGCAGTGTTCTCAGACCAACGTTCTAAAATGTGTCTCACACCAATGTTCTCCCCAGGAGAAGCGACAGCAGCGGATGAGACACCTGGAGAGGCACGGCCACGACGTCACCAACCTCCGCCACACCTTCGAGTCCACGGAGCCCCAGCTGTCCTACCGGTCCTCCCACCCAGGGGAGGTCCCCCCGCTCCAGGGGCTGTCCCCCAGGGAGCAGTTTGGAGTCATCCACTCTCGCAGAGACCCTCCCCCTCACCCCGGGGCTTCCTACCACTCCCCCAGGGAAGCAGACCAACCGACCGTTTCTTACATCTCGTCTCCGAGAAGAGAAACAGCTGTGCAGACAGGTAGAACTCAAGTAGTGCTGTACAAAACACTGTGCATTGTGCAATACTGACTCATCTTTCGTAAAGGCACCCACAGTGATTTTGGGCCACATTGAAACTAGATTTTCAAAGTTAATTTTCTGGTCATTTTCAATGTAGTAATATAAATCAACCCTATCCCGTAGCATGCTGATATCTGCGAGGCACGAATGCAATGTCACTGACGGTGTCCCTAACTTCCACAGATCCCTTCCGTCTGCCAGATGAAGTCCCAGTCACCATGCCTGAGGAGGGTGACAGCAGTAGTGTGGAGATAGAGTACAGGTCAGGCCTGCTTGTGGTGTCATTCAATGTTGTACCTGTCATTTGTTACTGGAATAGTTGATAGTCATGTACAGTTTGTAGTATGACAAGAAGAAGAGTATGACCCACACAGAAAAAGACTGGACGTACGAAAACTGCATAGTATTACACGTGTAAGCATACGAAAACTGTATACGTGTACGTTACCATGAGGGCTGGTGTATGATCTGTATGTTCTTTACAAAGTTACGTCAAAGCAGGCTGATATACATGCAGGAAAGTTCAACGTATGCAGTTTTCGTACACTTGCGTGCGTATGCAATATTCGTACTTTTGCCTGCATGGGTCTGTGAGGTGCTGTTTAATTGACTTGTGTATGCATCACTGTAACTTAGGGACAGCAGAGAACAGCAGAGGAGCAGGCAGAACAGGGATGCCGCCAAACGTGGCAAGAAGGAGGCCAGCAACAGGAGAGCCGCTGCCACAGACAGCGAGAAAGAGAACAGCAGAACAAAGAGAAAAGCCGAGAAACCAGCAGAAAAACCCAGGTGGGGAGCCAGCAACTCCAAAGTGCAGGGGAAGAAATTTGTGAAAGCATCAGAAAGATATCCTAATAAACTGAAGAAAAAGAGGGAAGAAAACCTCATCAAGAGGGAGAGAGAGTTAAAGAAACAGATGGAGGCAAACTCCAAGGAGAGGCTGCGACAGAGGATGGTCGAACAGAGGTCGTCGCCAGAGGTCACCGGTCGAAAGTCGCCGCCTGTACCAACTCTGGCAGCGAAAAACAAAAACAAAGACGATGATGACTTGTATGCGCCGTACGAAAGGACTAGTCGGAAGCCAAAGCGACAGGAGGCAGTGAGAGTGGCACAGGAATTCAGGTCAGACTCTCCTCCTGTTCCTGCACTCAGAAAGAAGGCGGAGGGGGATGGAAAGGAACCATCCTTCCCTCCCCAACAGAGGGGTGAAGTGGACCGGCCCAATGTCAGAGGGCAAAGGGCGTGGGACGGAGGGGAACCTGGTCAGTACGACTACGACTCGGCGCCCAGGGCCAACTCACCCCCCGTCCCGGCCCTCAGGAGCAAAACAAAGCAGCCAGGTCCTGACAGGGAAAGAAACCCCCGCCAGAGCCCAGAGAGGAGCAGAAACCCCATTCGGAGCCCAAGCAAAAGCCCTGACAGGAAGCCCAAAGTACGGCAGAAGTCTCCTGAAAGGTACGACAGTCTTGCTTCTTGCATGTGATGTTGCATAATGTTGATTATATCATACCCAGGCTGTGATAACCTTTGACTTGCAGTCGGCTGGTACCTTACTAAAGGCTATTATGGAATATCCCATGTTGTATTCTTAGACTATATTTACAAACAATACAAGACATATGCATTCCAAAAGATGTTTGCTGTTCTGCAAGAGATTGAATTTGATTGTGTCTTGCTTACCACAGTCTTGTTTAAAAGATTCTTATTTTCCTGACTGTTATACATGATTCAGATTCATATTCAGACCTGCATCTCTCCCGGTAGATATGGAACGTTAAACGACCATCCTCACTCCCCCCTGCGTGATGGAGATTTCATTCCGTTCCGGCGGACAGACGACGGCGTACTGGATCCGCAGGAGCCCATGTCCCTACCGGAGACCCGGGAGGCCCCGCGGTTACGCAGGCGCGCCAGCACGGACCACAGTCCTCACAGGGGAGGGGGGGAACAGGTGCCAGACAACATGAGGTCTGCAAGTGCTGGACAGACTAAGGTAAGGGTTGTAACTTGTATATACATGTATGTTGTATTGTAAAAAAAAAGGTCTCCCATGCTCTATGCAGAGCATAGGGTTTGGTGCCCATGTCCATTTCCGTAGCCCTTGGGCGACACACAGTTGTGCAAGTCACTACAGCAGGGGGCTAGTCCGCTGGTAGTGCTGTGTGTTTGACCTTCCACACTCTTTCTCATATGTGCTGAGTGCTAAACAGAGAATGAATTGTGTACCATTTATTAATTAAAGTCTTTGGTATGACCCGGCCGGGGTTTGAACTCACCTCCCGGTTACAAAGCAAGCACTCTACCAATTGAGCTATATGCGCTATTGCACCAGTATTGTAGCCAACAAAGCAAGTACTCTACCAATTTAGCTATTGCACCAGTATTGTAGCCAACAGATAATTCATAAAGCAGATTCAATCACAGGTGGTTGATTTGGGCAGCATTGAACTTAGTTGTCATGGGCTGAAATGAAGAATAGTGCAGTGTCTGCTGGCTGCTGACAAGAGAACATAGCAGTAGCAATGTCTGCCATTCTGCAGGACCCTCTACTGAACCCAGGGATGGTGAAAAATCCCCAGAGACAAGAACAGATCCTCAAGCAGCTGAAGAGTCTCAGGGAGGTAAGTACTACGTCTTGTATCTTACCGGTCCAGTTACTGTAGTTGTTTTTCATTTTCTTGCAAGCAGTCTGAGCTTGACTGACAAAAGTGAACCACTTTAACAGTGTACACACACACACACACTCGCTCACTATCTGTTCAACGTCTTGTGGTCCTCGTTGCTCGAGGGTTGGACGTGGAATGTTGCCCTGGCCCGATTGCCGCTCTCCAGCTGATTCTGTCCTGTTGGTCAGCCTTTTGAAGATTCAGTTTGCAGATATCTTCTTTGACATTGTCTATCCATCTCTTCTTTGGGCGGCCACGTGGGTTCTGACCCTCAACAGACATTGACATGATCTTTCTTGGCCAGTTCTCTGTGTTCATTTTCTCTAAGTGTCTGTACCACCGCAGCCTGTTGTAATGCATGACCTCAAGGAGGCTGTATATACCCAGCCTACTCCTGAGGGCACAATCTTGATAATGTGTATCCCCTGCTCTGTGTGGTGTGTTTGTGCCTTCTGCTCTGTGTGGTGTGTTTGTGCCTTCTGCTCTGTGTGGTGTGTTTGTGCCTTCTGCTCTGTGGTGTGTTTGTGCCTTCTGCTCTGTGTGGTATGTTTGTGCCTTCTGCTCTGTGTGGTGTTTGTGCCTTCTGCTCTGTGTGGTGTGTTTGTGCCTTCTGCTCTGTGTGGTGTGTTTGTGCCTTCTGCTCTGTGTGGTGTGTTTGTGCCTTCTGCTCTGTGTGGTGTTTGTGCCTTCTGCTCTGTGTGGTGTGTTTGTGCCTTCTGCTCTGTGTGGTGTGTTTGTGCCTTCTGCTCTGTGTGGTGTGTTTGTGCCTTCTGCTCTGTGTTTGAGCTGTCTTTGACAGTCCTGTACTGTCCCTACAGGGTCTACTGATGAGGCAGAGGGAGATCGAGTCCTGCATGTCTCCTCCTATAACAGCCTTCCAGCCTGACTTACAGAACCCACAACACGGACCACAGTAGAACTACTACATGTAGAACAGTACCAGACCACTAGTTTTCGATAGACCATACAAGACTACACTAGCACAATTCTAGCACATCCCGGAAACTGATGGCCAGTGTAGCAGACTACAGCAAACTAATGTGTAGAATGTGGTTACAAGTACATGTTGGCCATGACTTCAGAATGTTGGACATGACATGTACAGTTTTTAGATACTCTCAAAATGTAAATGTGTGTATGAACAGATTTTATATGAGGGCTTGTCGTGTTTCAAGTTGCAATCTCCATTTCAAGTGCAACATATATAGAATGTTAAAATCACTGTCAATATGTTGCCCATTTTATCGATTTGTACATTGAAATAGAAAATCTCATTTATAATTTTGTTTGCCCTTCCAGAGAATGTCCATTTCATTGTACAGTCAACATAGTGAGTCAATGGATATTATATCATATAGTATTCAGTTCTTTGTACAGGTGTTTCTATATTTCAATGATTATTACAGATTCTTGCAGCATAAAATGTGTATTATTGATCCATTGTTAATATGCTGAATTTTTGTGTATTACATGTATTTCTATTAATGAAATTAAGACTTTCTTGTGTGGAAAGTTTAGCAATAAAGTTTAGTACTTACAAGTATTTACAATATCTGCAATCTATTGTATTTTCTTCTGTCCATTAAAGTGACAAATACCCTGGGAACCAAACTAGCGTACATGTGTGTACATGTAAGTTTTCCGCACAGGGCCTCACAAGTTTGGTTCCCAGGGTAAGCAACAACAAAAAAAGCAACTGTACACTTTTCAAAACAATCAACAGCAGATTTTTCTTATAAAATGTTTTATTGTACATATTGTGAATGTAAAACACATAAAATGTTCATTATGTATATTCGTAAGAAGTGACTAATAGATACTAGCTGGACAAAATGAAAATGATTGCCCAGCCAAGAATACCTTTATATAACAGCAGACCACACATCCCGTACTCTGTACAAATAACCATGTCATGGTAAGCTTCTGATTATATACTAAACCAAAACGATTTCATAGCCTTCTGTCGAAGGCAATGAAGAGAAACTTTAAGAGCATCGGTGGAACAAAATTGGCAGTCCAATTCAGCAGTCACACACTAAAAACTACAAGCAGCTGACATAAATACATACAGTGATTTTTTAGGAATGCTTTTGGGTCTTTCAGTAGCATGAGAGATGTATCATGAAAGCATCTAGCATGAAAATACCAAGTCTTCACCAACTGATACTGGATAAGTGGTATTGGTATCACGTTTCCCAACCACATGCTACTATCGTACTGCATGATAATAGAAAATAAAAACTGGTACCAACTTGCTTATAGTACCACTCAAAAAAATGATAATAAAAAAAAGGTTTTAACATTTGAATATACACAAAAATTAATAGCAGCCAGGTCAACTGGGGCAGTTTAAGAATTTCTAAAAAAAAACAATATCAAAGCAATGCTTAACTTTTATACATTTTTCATATGAAATATCAAATCTGTGATGTTCTATGAAACAATTGAAGGTACACAGACAGTAGATACTTCAAAATATGCTGCTAGAAACATAACAGTTGCTATATTAAGCATAAGATTAAACATTTAATACATACTGATAATACTGCAACCTAGAATATGTGGCTTTGAATACATGCAGCAAAGAAAACAGGGATTTCAAAATTGCAAAATTTTGATATACATGAGTGCATACAATGATTTTGCTGTCCTCCTGAGGACTCAAGTTTTCAATATCGTGGTCTGGTTCCAGATTTCCTGCATCTTTGCCAGACAGAGAAAAATAATTCAGTCAGGAAGTATGTTGGCAGAACATACTGTGCCTGTGTAAAACCTGTGATGTACCGTGCATAGCACTTTAGCAGAGTGTCTCATTTAAGGAGACATTCTGTCTATAGTTTTCAAATGTTATGTCAGAAAACACATTATTGACGATGGGTATAATTCTGACACAATGTTGACCAAACATCCAACAAAAACTGTGAAAAAACTGTGTTTCACAGAAGCGCTTCACAATAATGTATGTTCTGCCAATGTGCTTTTTAAAGATAAGTAGAGGACAGTACCCATTTTCAACCCTCATCATGTCAACTGAAAAGATGATAAAAAATTTCTGTACATGATTGTCTAAACGTTTGCAGGTACTCTGGAGTTTTGGATTTCTCTTCTGTGATAGATTTGTCAGCAATGTTCAGTTAGTGCATGAAGTGGGGTTGGTGGAAAAAGCAGTCCAGTCCAATCGGTGGAAAAAGCAGTCCAGTCCGATTTAGCATGAAGCCTGGGCAGCATTGGTGGTGAATTATCAGACGGTCTGGTCGTTATAATTACTTCTCCCCAGCAGCGCTGTCCTGTCCCTGCTGGTCCTGGCTGTCCAGGAACTCCCTCCAGTTGTCCTTGGCGCTGTTCAGGTTGGCCAGCCATGTGGCCTTCATGGGTTCGCTGGAGGCCTGCAGGGTCAGGACAGCCGCAGCGTGCTGAAACCGGTTCTCATGGACCAGCACAAAGGCGTGCTTCAGGCCTGTAGCTGGGGATTCAAAATTACAGATTTGAGTTTTTATTTTTAATAATAGCATTTAGAAGAACAGGCTTCTGGGGTTGAAAAAAACATGCTGGGAACTTTACCTGATTTTATTCTCATACACCTACGGTAACTACTTTTTGTAAACTAGAATCTAGTCTCTACCAGGCATTAGAAGTGGCTTGAAAGTGTACATGACATTGGAAATTGGCAAGATAGATAACATGCCAGGGGAGTTGGTTCACTAAGGGAATACAGAGCAGCAAACTGTAGCTTGTGGACCAACTCCACTGGCATGTTAACAGTATACAATGTATTTGGCCAATTTCTACTCTTTCCAGCCACTTCTGAAGCCTGGTACAGCATATTAGCTATCCAGTGTCCTTTCGATATGCTATCACTGTTAGGATGCTCTAACCAGTCATTTATTGTAATAAGGTATCACACCTTTCAATTCTATTTTTTTTGTACTAGAGGTCACCACAAAACAAGGCAGTAAAGCCACTTTAGGTTGTGTTTATGTACTGACCAACAGACTGTGGAATGTCGACATCATGTATGGCCAGCCTGTCCAGAGGCACAGGTTGTCTGTACACAGTGAAGACTGGTCCGTCCTTGTGCATCAGGGAACCCTTCCGCGAAGAAACAGAGGATATGGTGCCATGGGAGAACTGGTCCATGGATTGTTTCTGTAGATAAGAAGGAGAGTCATCAAATGTGTTTTGTTGACACACGTATACAATAACATACAACTAAAACATCCACAAGTGCTTTTAAAGACTTGATTGGAATGCAAAGAAGTGAAAAGTTACTAAAGTAAATGTTACATTTTCAAAGCAAATGCACAATGTTTACTTTCACACTGGGATGTGGTCTAGCTAAAAAAATTCTTAACATATTCGATATTTATGGTGACCAGCCTCTACAACTCTGTCCTGCAACTTGCTACATAATGTAGTCCAACACCACAGGGTGTCTGCTTCATCAACAGTTACCATGGTAACAGACTTCTGGTCCAGATCATTGACTTTTGTTTGGAGAAGAAAAAACAGCGAAAACAATATGTTTTCCTTCTGCAAAGGTGAACATACTTATTTTGTAGATGTCTACCATGCTGGCTAATAATAATAATAATAAGCTTAAACATTGGAGAAAGCTACGAAGAAGGGGATAGTAAAACAGTGCCTTACCTTTTTCCCTGCATTTTTCCTCATCTTCGTTATAAGCAACAAATCATCAAACAGGAACAGATACACATCTACTGGCTTCCCGTTTTCTGTTGGAAAAGTCAACAACAGTTCAGTTATTTTATCATGATCATTTGAAAGTTGTACAATAATGTGCAATTTAAGTTTCACTTGTGTTCATTGTACAAAACTTCTTCAAGATTATTTAAGCTAGATTCTTTGAACCTCATAACATTATTATTGTGGGCTCCATTTCACAAATCCATCAATTATCAGATACATAGCACTAAGAAATGTAGCTGTGTTTCAATGTGAAAACGTACCTAGCATGCACAGTGATCCCTCATATAGAAGCTGTCTTGTTGGATCAGCCAGGATGTTCTGGTGGGATTGCTTCATCAGAGTTGCTCTCAGAAACTATGATACAAACAGGAGAAAACATTAACGACACCAGTAATGTTATTACATACACTGTACATTCAAGGTCATTACTAATGAAGTTCTCTCACCTAGAGTTTTCGACGTGTCATTCTGGTCTTCCTCAGTAGACTGACCCTTTACTGACATCATACACACTTCAAAGAAGCCACGTGACCAGTCTCACTGGGTCAGTCTACTGAGGAAGACCAGAGTGACTGATCAAATGAGCTAGGTGAGAGAAATTCTTTGTGTTGAATCAAAAGTTTAAACTTTAAACAGGGCTTTGTCTTAGTTCGGTTATGGGCTGTTCTTCATATTTTCCTCATCGTTGGGTGAGTACTACAGAAGGACGTACCTCTGGCACATACGCCTTTGTTTCCTGGTCTATGGCAGGGAACTCGATGAGTTCTTGCAGCTCCTGTAGACGCTCAAAGTTGGTCAGCCACTTCACCTTCCCCTCAAGCTCTCCTTCAGAAACAGGGTGCAACAAAAGAGTTTAATAGTTGTCTTCAATCTTTTGAAGTTACATGTAGCTGCTACAGTTTCATGGTATCTTTTTTTTATTGCAGAGGTAACAAAAACAAATACAAAGAAGTTCCGAGGATCCTGACAGAAATCAAACAGTCAAATCAGAAGCAATACTGAAGCAAGATAAAAGAACCTGGATGAACTACAGTACTTTGTACTTTACGTTTGATTGTAGATCTTAATTATGCACTTAAAGCATGTGTAAAGTTCTGTTTCTTCCCTCACGTGTTAACCTTTATGCATGCTTAAAGATAGGATTTCGTGCAGTGATGGTACTTAACCCTTGTCCTGCTGTGCGCAACATATGTCGCGCGGCACATACAGTACCATCTATATAACACCCTGCATAGGTACGATTTGGGGGTATTTCTCGTGCAACGCATCACACCGCAGCGAAACGCAACGAATGCGGAAGTAACTATGCCACTGCAGGGCAAAAAAATTGGGGGGTCTATGATCTAATTAAGACATGAAAATATTGAAAAATATTGTGCCAGGAATGCCAGCAGGACAAGGGTTAAGAATGTCGCGTACTTATAGACTCCTCCACGGATTCTATGGTTGCGGTTAGCGATGTCTTGTCGTCCGCGTCCTCGGTCCGTTTGCGGATGTCCTTGAGCAGGAGCGGGAACTTGGTCAGGTGCTGCATGGGCGCCACCAGCAGGTCCGACAACTTCAGCCGATTGCACCGCGGGTCCTGTTCACACCACTGGAACGGAAAAGCCAAAGTCATGATTAACTGCTGTTTAAAAAAAAACACCTGACTTGATCTTGTTTGTGTGCCTCACCAGTGGGCTAGTCAGTTGATTGCTACCCGTCGCCAGAAACTTTGGAATTTCAAATTCTCTTGGGGTGGGGGGCAGCAGTGTCTGAAGTACTAGTAACACCACCACCCACTTACTGTAGCTGCCTTTCTTCTCTGCAGGTCAGTCCATGTCTATGAAGAAGTAGCTACTGATGATTGACTTATTTATTTATTTATTTATGAAGATTTACCACATTTGTGGAAGGATTGACATAACAGGTGACTATCACCTTTTCAAAGATGTCAACCCCGAGACCAGACTGTAAGGTTTGAACCACTCACACCGGGAAGGTCCCCTACTCTTTTCGATAAGTGCGCTGGGTTCTTTAACGTGCGTGGGGTGTGGCTCTCCCAAACACGGGACCTCCATTTAACGTCCTATCCGAGGGACGTCCCTAGCCGAAGCTAGGTACTCATTTACACCTGAGTGAAGTGAGGAAAGTCGTGTAAAGTGCCTTTCCCAAGGGCACAAGATCGGTGACATGGGCAGGGTTCGAACCCGCGACCTCTGGGGTGTGAGCCGAACGCGCTACCGACTGCGCCACACGACCCCACGACTTGATCTCCTTTTGTTGATACTAACAGTTGACTGCTGTATATTTACCTGGAGATGTCATTCAGTTGGAAGGTACTGTTTTCGGTCGTGTTTGTGTGTTCACAGCTGTTGCTCACGATGGGTTTGACATGTTTCTTTGATTTTTAATTATCATTAGTTATTGGGGTCCAAATGATGCGTTTTCTTTGTATCTGTATTTTCAGGTATCAAAATGACATAATTCAACACCCCCCCATAATTATGAATATGACATCTGAAATAATTATTGCCAGAAGTTGTTGTGAACATCATCAGATTCTTGTACTTTGTATGAACGTTAGAAAGAGGCTTCATTAAGGATGTACAATGTATGTTTGTGGGGTTTTGTACCTGGATGAATTCCTTGAAGTCTTCGTTCTTCCTCAGTTCCACCATGTAGGAGAGAGCACTGGAGTAGTTGAGGCAGTATCGCTGGTAGGGCGGACATACCCGGTTCCCAAACTGCAGGGAACGAGGGGTTGAGTTATGATGTGAAGACGTTTATATCTAACATACATGTAGCTGTCCAATACAACAAAATCCCAGAGCCAGTGGTAAATTACTTCTATGTAGCACCGTACCCGTGCAATGTGTTTGGGTTAGGATCAGGCATGGTTCTGGATTCTGAGTCTCTGCATATCCAAGAAATGTAGATTTGCCCCAGTCACGGTCCTGGATATGATTTGACTATCCAGAGCATGTTTCTGAATAAACTATGGGTCTTGATATGAGAGTACTAATGGTATGATGGTCTTTCAAGTTATAGCTTGCTATCTGGATCCGACGTTTCAATGCGATTGCCTTACCTAGATAAAGTTAAACATCACTAGCAACAACAAGTATACTTCTAGTATCTAGACAAATCATAATGTAATTTTATGAATCCAGTATGAATGCGTTTGCACATACCGAGTTGAAGGCATTGACCACGGCCTGCGTGCTGCCGAACTCCATGGGAGTCACGTTATTCAACAGGTTATTCAGCAACTCCTTACAGAACCACGAGCTCACCTGGACAACAAAGGTGGGATATACTTTTAGACTAGAAAAGTAACATTTTCATTTGCAAAGCAAATGTATAATCATAATTATGATGTTTACCTTCACGTATAATAGACTTACAAACTACCGCTCTGTTTATTCTTACTCAAGCACATTCATTCATTTACATGTGTATATGATGATGACCAGCCCCTTCAACCCTGTCCCGCAACTTGCTACATAATGTAACACAACACCAAAGAGTGTCTGCTACTGCACCAGTTACCATGGTGACAGACGTCTGGTTCAGACTACTCTATGTCAGAGATTTTATAGGGAAAAACTATGACAACTAGAAAGGCCAATATTTGCTTTGGAGCAAATACAGCGATGGGTTCACCACATTTTACCACATGGCAGGGAAAGAATGAGAAACACAAGGGAAAACAATGATTTACATTGATATAACTATAATATGAAGTAACATACAACTAAAACAACAGTTGGATAGCTATTCCCTACTTTATTGGTTAGGATTTTTAATTGCATAATGCAAACTGTTGATTTTCAAAATAAAAAAAAAAGTTCATGCCCCGCATTCCAATGCTGGAGCAGAAAAGCTTGAAATACCTACCAAAACACTTGAATAAAGACATACTGTTAATATGGAAATGCTCTGTGCAGGTGTTAATCAAGTTAAATCCCAACAGCCAATCAGCAAGAAATGCTCTGTGCAGGTGGAAATGCTCTGTGCAGGTGTTAATCAAGTTAAATCCCAACAGCTAATCAGCAAGAAGTATAGAGGAAAGCTGCATGCCTATTGGTTGATGCCCTGCATTCCATTGTGATGACTCATGCCCAGACGTGGTAAACACACACTAACACAGTAATACATTTGCTATAACACAGCCAAAAAACTCAAATAAAACCATTCTAAAAGCCTGTATCACAAAAATTTAAAAAACGCCTAGGGGTATTTGCCCACTGTACCTCCATACCAAATTTCAGGACCTTAGGCCCTAAAATGAAGAAGCTGAATCCATTTAAAAAATGGCAGGAGAAGAAGAAGAAGGAGGAGAAGGAGGAGAAGAAACATCAGAAAAAGCAATATGGGTTCACCACCACTTCGTGGTGTGGTGAACCCATAATTATTTTGTATTTCATCACAATATGCAATGTTACAGACTCACCTGACAGAGCTCGTCTAGATTTGCGAAAAGCTTGGGTGTGTCCACGAAGGCCACGTGACCCTGTTCCTGGAGTTCTAGCAAGGGTTCTAGGAACACCTGAGGTGAGTAGACAATATTAGAGATTGGTACTTTGAATTACGATTTTTCAATAGCTTGCTCTCTCCAATGAAAATATCAATTTGCTGCAATTTTGTGTTAACTTAAAATCAGCTTCATTTCCTCAATATAAATTGGTAATACATGACATTGTATTTGTAACACAGCCTTACACTATAAAGTCAGTGCACTCTAATCAAGGTCTAAAATACTGATTACTAGTACGTTTGTACAGTTGATTGGTGTTTCTATATATTGTATCTCAACAATTATTACAGATTCTAGCAGCATAAAATGTGTATTATTATCTATTGTTAATATGGTAAAATTTTTGTGTAATAATGAAACATTGACTTTCTTTTGTGGAAAGTTCAGCAATAGTTTTAGTACTTACAAGTTAAGTATTTACAATGTGTGCAATGTATTGTATGTTTGCAGTTCTATGCTGAGGTCTCTACCATCTATGACGTGACTATGACGTACATATTTGAGGATGAGGAGATGGTCCAGCAGGTACACACACTCTGACGTAAAGAGTTCCCAGACTGCCTCGCGCCGCTTCTTCTCCATCTCCGTCAGAGGCAGGGAAGGTAAGCCCAGCTCCGAGGTGGCCATCAGGTCCGTCCAATGAGAGTCCTGCTTGCAACAATGTTTGAAAATAACGGGTTAACACAACGAACGAACGAACGTCCAATGACAGTTCTGCTTGCAACAGTGTTTGAAAATAACGGGTTAACACAACAAACGAACCACTACATTGGTCACGCACAATTTGGGAAGAGGCCTTTCCTATAAAAACATCTTTTCTGAAGCCCGACAGACACTTGAGTTGATTTAAGATGGCGAAGATTGGTCTAATGACAAACTAGAATTGTAACGGTTGCTTCAAAGCTCGTGGGAACTGCCTATAACGTTCACAGGTGCCACATAGTTGTTGGTTGAAGGATTCCGGTACCATCCGGCTCAGGTACTCGGCGTTTGGTGCCGTGCCAAGCGCTACAAACACCGGTAACACGAGCCGAAGCTTCCCCTGTGCGTGTTTACCGTGTAGAACAAGGTGTCACGCTTTAGCAATATACACACGTTTACTGGGTGGTCTGAAGTATTATGAAGTGAAGGTAGGATTTTGTTTGGAGCTTTCTTCGAGGTTATTATGAATCTTAAGGCAAACTTTGGAAGCGGTGTCAGACTTTCTTAGCTTCGTACCTTGGTTCAGACACCGTTGTAAAAAAAAACAAGAGAATACTGCACATAAGTGTCTACGTCCAACATTATGCTACATTCTACAACATATATGGTACTAGTTTTGTTGGGTTTGACGTCGTCTTTTTGGTATAAGATACTGGGGTTTGGAAGATGTTTTGAATGAATGGGTTGGTCACCTTGTAGGCGTAAAGATGGTGCTCTCCAAGGTCGCGTTGTTTGATGGTGGTCAGGGCGACCTCCAAGGCCGTATTCTTCTTCCGTTCCTCCTTCTCCTTACTCTTGGTCTGTGAAAGTTGGTGACATGAGCGGTAAGCTTCAGCAACTGATTAGGATAATTATGTCTTTTTTGTGTATTCCAACATTTATTACAAGACATGTCGACGGCACACTCAAGTTCTTTCAAGTTATTTTCATGCCGTCACCAACGCATGAACAGACAACAGACATACTCAATTTCACCTGAGTAAAGTGAGGAAATTCGTGTCAAGTGCCTTTCCTAATTGCCAGGGCACAAGATCGGCGGCATGGCAGGATTCGAACTCGGGACCTCTTGGTTCCGAGCCGAACGCTCTGTCGTTACGCCACACGACCCCACAAGAATATGTCTACTTGGCCGTTTTAAACGTGAAAGAGAAAATGAATAATTTCTGTTCAATACTTACGAAGTTGGTCTTCAGGAAGGACCATGCGGACTTGGTCTTTTTCTCGTCTGTCGAAAAAAATGTTACATAACGTGAGTGAGACGCACCCTAGGTTTGCAATTGTTGTACACTCAGTTGTACACTCAGGAATGGCAGTAAATGTTTTTCTTTAAACGAATGAGTTAGATAGTAGAGAATCATCGAGACTTTCTCACCTTCTAGTAGATTAGCAGCGGACCCCCTATGTCTGTCTTTAAGAGCTGTAAAGGGAACGGTAGGAGACATTTAGAAAGACGCAACTGTTGATTATATCAAGTTGTTGCAGCAAACTCTATTCTTATCAATACTGGGCTCAATCAATTTCGAGTTTCATCCACCACTGCAAAAGAACCCGTTCTTTCAGCATACGTTTCTTCCCTGTTTCTTCCCTCGTGTGTACCTTTACACATGCTTTAAGGATTGCGTGCAGTGCAGGTTTCTCGTACGCCCAGATAGACGTACCTGCTATTGCCGCCTGTCCGTCGTGGTAGTCCCCGGGCTCACACACCAGCAGATCTCCCGGCGACACCTGGAGTCCGGGCAGGCTGACGATCAGCGAGCTCCGCCGCCTCAGCGCTCTCTTCTGCCGGCGCTTTCTGTAGAACAGCAGCACAGCGCGAATCATTGTCAGCCCCTCTCCGTGCAGTCTCATGCGTTTGTTTTAACACTAACAGTTTGAAGCTGACTGACGCTCGATTCAAACTCAAACTCGCACAAAAAACAGAACACACTGAAGCTTCCCTACAGTTGCAGCGTCCACATTTCTGACCTACATTCAGTGTAGGAAGAATATTTTCTCAGAGAATAGTTTGTAGCTATAGCGAAGGCTGTTACAGCAAACGAGGGGCCAATTCCTGCCTACCATGTACCTCGTAGCGGACGCACCGTGTACTGTTTCGCATCAGGCTCGGCACATGACGCGCTACGTGCTACCTGAATTCACGGACAAGTAAATATCTCGAGGACGTCTGGCAGCTGTTTGAGATTATTTTGTTTCCTGGGTTCTGTCTATCACAAATTACAATTAACGTTCAGAGATCTCGCTTCATCATCACGTGTCTTTGATCGTGAGAGTCGTGTTTGGGCCACATTCGTCATTACCTCCATGAAAAATGGAGGTATTGTTTTTGGTCCGTCTGTTTGTGTGAGTGTGTTTTTTTTGGGCAGCCTAACTTAGCAAAGTCTGAATGGATTGTTATGATATTTGGTGTGTGTGTGTGTAGGTCTTGGGAAGATGAATGTCTTGGATGGGCCTCCTGGCGACTTTTCTTGGTACTGCAGAAGGACTTTCTGTTTTTTAATCTTTTATTCGTGACAAGCTATGCCTATGGTCTTTTATGGTTTGTTTTTTGAAGGTTTGGTCCCCCTAGCAGCTTTTTCACTACATGGAGTACGTAAGATTGTACAAAAGTAATAAAAAAAGAAAGAAGAATTCAAGACAATTGATATTCACTTAAGAAGAAGCTCTCTGCCTACGATCTATAAGAAAGTTGTTTTGCAGTGAATCTTACCTTGGAGTGTCATCGTCCGTGCCCTGAAACAACAAAAACACCGCCATCAGTGGTTTGGAAAAAGAATCAACACACTGTCAAACTTCAACCGGAAAGCTTTTTTCACCCGATATCCAAGTCTTTGACTTATCGTCTTCAAATGACGCAAGGTTGATTAACTGAAGGTTACCTTTGTTGCTGTTTTTAGATAGAGCCCTGTAATTTAATTACGTGAACCGATTGGGACAAGGTTTTTGTGGTTTGCCATGATTTAGCACTGTATGATCAGCCTGTGTAGTCCGTTGTAGACAACTAGTAGTCCGTTGTCCTTGCAAGTCTAGTAAATTTTACGTGGCAGCAAAAAACATATGGCAGAGCTAACAGTGCTAGACATTATAGTCGTTACATAGAGTAAAAATCACTGAAAAAATCTATCTTTTAAACATGCTTCAAAGCACACGTAAAGAATCCGTTTCTTCCCTCACGTGTACCTTTACGCGTGCTTTAAAATGTGCTACTTTATACCGTACCTTAGCAGAGTTATCGTCCGAAGAGCCGTCGTCCGTGTTGGGAGACGCCGACCCTTTGTTGGCCCGTTTGGGGGAGCTGTCGTCAGCCGACGGGCCGTCATCCTCCTCCTCCACCGTGCTGACACCGACGCCATGGAGCTGCTTGTGTTGATCCTACAAAACAGTCAAGGCGCAGATGTTTCAACTTCAGTTGGCTGATAACAACATTATTGAAAGCACTTACTGGGAAGATATATAAGGAAGATTAATAGAGTTAATGTCGGTAAGTTTACGCACCCTGAAAGCGGCTGGCGGAAGTGATGTTGTCCTGTTCAAGTGTTTTGATTCAGGCTGTTGAAAGTCCATGGGCGGCGGCGCCTCTGGCGCGAACACCCGCGCCCTGATTTCAGGGTCGGAGCCTGAGTTTTGAGGTTTGACTGGCGGACCCCAACTGGTGGAAACGTTGGACCAGTCCGCCGACATTGGCCTCATCCTGTGCGCATTGCTCTCGGCCGCTTGCCTTCGTACAACTCTTGGGGAGTCGCTGGAAGGCTGGAAGTACAAGCTCTCAGAGGGAACGCTGCCGTACTGGAGTTTTTGGTCGGCCCATCCGTCCGACATCGGCCGCTCGCCCCGTCTACCCTGCCCGGGTTCTCTCAGGTTCACCACCTGTAAAGGTTCGGATGCCGCGTCCATGGACAGGTTTGTCCGCCTGGCGAAGGACATCCGAGCGGCCTCAGCTCTCCGTCGTTGCACATCGTCGGTGAGCTCTTCAGCGAGTAGCCTCGGTCTAGCCACGTTGGAGGGCCTGAAGTTACTGTTCTCAAGCGTTCTCGTGTACCTGGTAGACCAGTCGGCCGAAGCAGGCCGGGTTCTAGCCATCTGTATTTTACTCTTCTCTCTACGGACGACAGTTGGTTGTCCGGCTGGCATGTTCTCTTTCTCAACACCTTCATCCTCCTCTCTGATGACCATCGCACAGCGGGTACACATGACGTCAGCACTAAAGTCACACTGGGTGGCGACATCGCGTTGCCATGGGAACCTGACGTCATGACGATCTCCGGTGATCTCCAGCTGTCCGTAAATGTTCTTGTTGCCCTGACCTGCCGGTGACGCAACATGCAGGCCACGTTGTCGCTCTATAACCACGGACACGCTCCGGGCGGGGGTTTGACCTTTCCTCGTCCTTGACATTTCAAGATGGCGGTCGTCCCCGGACCCTGAGGTGTCGTCACTGTCACTTGGATGCCTTCAAAGGAAATAAAAATGTGTTTAGTTTTGGAAGTGGAATAAAAGCTGAACGATATATAAGATAAATGATTCTAACCATAGACATAGAGTAAACAAACAAACAAACAAACAAAAAAACAGCAATGACTACAGAAATAAGATTAAGATCAATGGGAAAAAAGATTGTCCAAAAGGAAGCCGTCAGCTTTGGCTAAGTTAACTGTTATACAAACATTATCCAAAAACGTCGATGAAGGTTAGACATTCAGGTAATGAGATACACAAGTAATTATTACTCAAGCAACTCCTCCTCCTTCCCCTCCTTTTTCTCCTGCCATTTGTTTGGATTCAATTTTTTTTTCATTTTTGGGCCAAATAACCTTAAATTTGGTATGAAGGTAGAGTGGGCCAATACCCCCAGGCGTTTTTGGAACAGTCTATTTTGGAATGAGAGTATGGACTGAAACATGCTGCATTTGCTGCCGAGCAAATAGTATCTGCCTTTCTAGTTCAAAACGTTGTCCTGTCAGCTGACCTTTGAGACATGTCGCTCTCCATGACGATGGCGCTATCCGAGTCGTCCCTTGGGTACGAGAGCGTGTCGTCCCCAGAGTTGCTCCTCTCGTGGTGGATGGGCAGTTGTGGTGGTCCCTGTTGTTGTTGTTGTTGTCCGTTCCCGACAACCATGGGCGCCTCCATGTCGATCGGAGACCGGCATCGCGCGGCGGACGAGAGATTTGCGTGCTTGGGTAGAGACAGATGCCCTGTTGAAGAGGAAAAAGACAAAAGTTCAATCAAAACCCACCTGTACACACCATGATGTCCGGTTTGACTATAACCTCAACCGACGTCAACCAACCTCAACCGACCGCTTCCTGGTCTAATATAGAGTGTCCATTGGTTAAGAATCCTTTTTACGCTATGGATACAGTGTCTATGCAATTATAGATAGTAAAAACAAGATAACTCTGAGGTTTTTACCAGTTCTTTTCAGAAGTTACGGCGCTTGCAGACCCATGTCACCATACCCGTGTCTCACTTTAGACTAGAAACCCTAGTTTAAAGTGAGCTTTGTCCTTGTGTATCGGGCAGAGTCTGTTGTTGGTGATAAGCATCTTAGCCAGTCTACGTGTGGTACATTCCCAGAGTTTTCGTTCTTTCTGAGTCACTATTGTTCGCGCAAACTTGTCATCTTAGGGATAATCCCGGAGGCGGCCAATCCGTCAGACGGCCGCCCAACAAGCGTGTCCGGATCACACGTTACAAGGACAGCGTTACACGCCGAAATGCTCCAAGCAGAGGTTTGGGTTTTGGCTTGTTTTTGGCGTGTTCGTAGGATTTTTTCATCGGGATTTCTTTTTTCACCGGTATCTGTTTTGGGTTGTCAGATACCAGTGAAAAAAAACGATAAAAAAAGCCTTAATACACGTCAAAAATAAGCCAAAACAGCAAACCTCTCATTTTTGTAAGAAATATACCAGTGCATTGAAAAAGAAAGCCCGAAAAAGAAAGCCTAAAAACACGTCAAAAATAAGCCAAGACCCAAACCCCTGCTTGAAGAGTATATTAAGAGGTCATTTGATTTGTAGAAACTAATAGTACAGTAACTAAATGACGAATCAACCCGCAAAAATGTTTCCCTGAAAGAGTTCGACAAACATTAGAAACTATTTCTGATCACTAGACCGCAGTCAGAAGTAAAATGCATGGCTGTAAAGTTTTCGGGTTTTCAAAGTAGGAGTCCGCCATTGTTTTCCAGCGAAGGAGGGGATTACATTGTCAGAAAGATAGCAAGATAAGGAAGGAATCTCAACTACGAAGCTAGCCACGAGGCTTACTTACAACGTTGAGTGAAGAGAAGAATGTCCAAATTGTATGCCGCCTCAATCCTGCGTAGGGGAACTGAAAAGCGACCCCTACCGTGATTACAAGGAAGTGCCTCTTCGAATTCAGCAGTCGATCATAAGGAAATATCAGATACTAGCATATAACGCTACCAATAAAAGCACGTTAAGTGCACAGTGGCTGTTTGAAGGGTGAAGGAGTGGGACAGAAGTGCTGGAATGTCCCCCGAACACCGGGCGTTCCCAGTAGTCCTTGGTTTCTATTGACTTCAAATGGGGCACAACCTCGCAAATGGATCAAGCTGAATACACCGTGAACTGACAATCGTCACTTACAGTGAGCAGTCCTACCCAAAATCTACCCTGTCGACAGTTGTAGAAAGAAATTTCACAGAGCTACTCTGAACAATCCTACCCAAAAGCTACCTTGTCGACAGTTGTAGAAATCCTCAAGAAGAACCGTCAATCTAGATCTAGATCTGCATGAGAAGTATCTGGTCTTAAGTGGGACGCTACAGAAGTATAACGACCAAACAAAACGTTTTCTCTGCAAGCCTTCGGCTGTTGTTACTTTTAGCGACGACCCGCACTCACAGAGCATTCCTGTGGTTGAGGTGTATGTTTTACTGGCCACCCACTTCTCACCATTTAAGTACTAGATTGAATCGTGAAAGCTGACAGTGGCTCCGTAAAAATAACTAAGCTCACAATTAAGTAATGATTTACGGAATACCCATTGTTGAGTATGCACCTATAGTCTACGTCTTGAAAGTTTGTTTCCCTTGTTGTCATCATTCTCCAAAAGCTAAAACTTGGTTGCCATTTTCCCTCAATTTCTTCTAGTTTCGAAATCTACAGTTTTCTTGTGTATCTCATTACCTGTTGGATGTCTAACCTTTATCTACGTAGCAATGAATTATTAATATTTCCATCCCTACATTATTTGGTGGCCCACTTTCTACGGCACAAAATCCTATTATGATAGATGTTTTCTATTTCTGATATGGATACATTGCTCATTTCCTCCCGTTTCATTGTGTCACTCGTCCTAGCTTCTCACTCAAAAGCTTCTCAATTTCCTTTCCTGTTCCACTCTGTATTCTTTGAGAAACAATTCGATTTGTATAAATATTTAAAACTCTTCATCGGTAGCAATAAACTTCAAAGTAAAATTAACATTAAACAGTAATTCATTATTCATTACGTCTTATTCATTACAAGTCTTTAAGAACGACCACGTCCAATAGCCTCTTCCAGGCTTCGGGAGGCGGCTGGAAAGCGAGTAGAAATTGGCCAAATAGAGAGATACATGTACTAGTAACATGCTAGGGGAGTTGGTCCGCTAGAGGCAAACTGTACTCTCAGTAGCGGACTATGTCCCCTGGCAATTTCTATCCTTTCTAGCCGCCTCTCGAAGCCTGGTAGAGGCTACATGTCCACGGCAAAAGCACAAGACATCTTCACGCTCCATTAAGGACCCAAACCACGTCTTCTCGGAGGGACCCGGTCTGTTAGTGAAAATATTTGCTCTAGTTCTGAACAGCGACTGTTGATCTACTTCAAGTGCTCTTTAGATGTGTTATCACAGAACAAACAACGTCTGCAACTTGTCGAAAGTGTCGACGTTAAGTAACCAGGAAAAGACACGCTGTTTGGGATAGCTTTGGAGCAGAGTGAGCTTTTGTCCTTTGGATGAATCATGGTGGAAAAAGAGGTCTGTTGTTGTGTCACCCTGGCAGAAGGAAACATATTGCTTTTGCTCAGTTTCTTCTTCCTCTTCTTCTTCTCCAAACACATAAAAACATCGATATGTCCATAACAACTTGGAAAAAAAAATAAAATTCAGCAAGCTAGTAGGTCGGTACATTGGTCATTTTGTCCGACATGAATGGAAAAAATGTTTTTATTGGGAAAGATAGGCGAAAAAAATTTGCAATTTCTATCTTAGAATGGTAGGCGAGACCATGCAAAGGTAACACCCTGCATTTGCTTGCAAATGTTACCTTTCTAGTTTAGGTTTGTTTAGGATAAATCAAAAGTACACAGCTATAAAACGTGTACTTGTTACTGAAGACTTGCCAACAAGGAAATAATACCACCTGTTAGAGCAGAAAGAAAAACTTCGAAATGATTCATCAGAGTTCAACAACCCTCATGTATGTGTTGTCATGCAATACACATACCAGTGAGCATGTTACTATTTGTATTACATCTATTTTTATTCATGTACGTAACCCGATGATACTATTTGTTTTCTTTGTTCGTTCAAAAAGTAAATAAATGCGAAGCATGGAAAAAAAGTGGGAGTTTCACCAGTCTAAGAAAGGAACTGCGGGAAAAATAAATTCCTAAAGTGTGTCATCAAAGTAAATGTTAATTAGTTAATATGATATAAACACGAAATTTGAGCAAAAAAATAATACACAAACATGTATAACAAGGAGGAGTAGCCGGATTCCAAAACATCTCGTTCCCAATGCGTGAATCTCAATCCACGGCGGCCATCTTGAAAAGGAAACAAGATGGCTGACACTCCTTTCACCCAAAGGTTTAGATTCCGTCAGGTGACCGGACAGAATCTGTTGGGAAAGCTATATCACTTTGTAAGAGAAGCACTGACGCTTTGTCACCGTTGTTTTGACTCTACACAATGCCGGTACACCCCAATGACCTCTGACCTTTGTTGAGACACTGCTCAGGTGTAGGCACTACAGTAGTGTCAAGTGTCGCCAGATGGCGACGAAAATAACTGACGCGCTCTTTGTATGAAAGGTTGCCGGTGTTTCGCGCAGTCCTATTGTTAGTACATCTTATCCAAACGTGTTCTGTGGGCGTCTATTGTGAAGGGCCGTAATACCTTGTCTTTGTCTAAATTCTATAGCGAGATGTCCCACTATTTCGAAGAGATTAGATGAAAACAATTTGCCTTTTTTTTCTTCTCTATGGATGGCCTAATGGTAAACATTACATGAATGAAAAGCTTAATTTTTTCATCACTCATACTTGTAAGGTGACACAAAGCACGTGCTTGTTCTGTAGATATCATTTTCATATTATCATAGTTCTGACGTCAATAAGAGGAGTCCCGACCTATAATGTGGGACCGCACAAGACGAAGACGGGAGTGAACCAGATAACATGCTGTCATCTTATATCCATAGGACATTCTTTAAGGAGAAGCTAAGCGTCTGATACCTTGTCTTAAGGTTGCGACTTTTTAGGATCCATGATCCTCATCACTTCAGTGGAAATCCTTCCGTGTTTTATATTAAAATACACAGTAAGAATATCGACTCAACAATCAAAAAGTCACATAGATAGTATTGCTTACATTGGAAAGGATACCAAAGACTAGTGACAAAATGAACAGGTAGTATTTTCCATTGTTGGGACTGTCGAGTACTTGAGTGAGTTCTTTTTTTTTACTTTTTAAAAACTTTTTTACTACCAAGACGCGATACCAACACACCTAGGGTCTAATACTAATGTCGTATCAAAACAAATTAAAGCGCATTGAAAGAAATAGAGAGACAAGAGTAACGAAGTAACGTAAGATAAACTACATAATAACAAAGTCATACGAAATGTAAGAAAAATGGAATTGAAATTCAGACAGGAAGGATGGAAAGGGTGGTTACTGATTTTTTTGTTTTGTTTTCTTTTCTGAATAATTGAACCTACTGTAAAAGTTTGTTGTTGTTTGAATCGGATAGAAAGTTCTAGTTCCTGCATGGAGTTAACTCCATGGTTCCTGTTGTTGTTATTGAGTGAGGGTGGTCCGGGGCTGCACGTGGCCGTCCTGTCTACCATTTCACGTTTCCGCACGTACTACAACACACTTCAAACTATCGGCAATGAACCGAGGATAACGATATCCCGAGCCTCCCACTTTCTACCGTATCGTATGTTGTTTGGACACTGTTTAGTCATTAATTACTGGGAGGGAGGGCCAAAACGTCAACAAAAGTTTTGCGGGGCAGCAAAATCAGACTTTGGAAAACTTTTGTCATCAACGAGGATTAAGTTAGGGTAATTAGGTGTTTTATTGTTCCTTCTGGTGTAGTATTCCTGGAACTAATTAGCGTTCAGGACCAAGGGTGAATGTTATAGTTCAGAAAGGAGTGCCTTCAGATGACAACAGAGCATTGTTGAAACGTCAGGCCACTGACTTTTGCTACCCTATCAACGCCAAATCATCAAGAGGCCATTTAAGCCCGCAGTAATCGTAGGTAAACAGAGAAATTAGTTCGGGGTAACCGTGGGTTGGAGGCCTTTTTCATGTGCTGTCAATCTGCCGAGAGCCCAGGTGACAGCAATGTATTACCTTACCGTATTGAGTCAATACCTCTCGCTAGGAAAACACCCGGTGAAAGGGGTCCATACATGCCCGCGCGCCAGTGTACACACACCGGGGCATTGTCATCGCCGAAAACCCGATACTTTCTGTCAAAGTTCTGTTTCTTTTGTTAGGATAAGTGTAGGAGTAACGTGGCGACAAGTTGTACTCGGACGGGGATAGGGTTTCTCGCAGAAGTTCAAGGAAAAATTGTTGTCGACAGTCAAATCTTTGCCACCAGCGATACGAGTATCCCTGTATTAAAGGTAGAATGACGAAGCATTGCCCCCGTTATGTATGAGTTAGAGTCTTTGTCAGTACAGGTGGTCGGTATGTGAGTTCGAAAAAGCTGTCCTGGTATCTGAATTATTTAGGACGCGTGTTTCGTCCCGTATCCTGACCAAAAAAACATGGCACACAAACCAGGCCGATTCACAACGCTCACAGCACCGCACCCAAACGTCACGTTTCTCTTGTACAATGTGTCTAGAATTCCCCGTTGCTTTCTCGTGCGGTCACGGCTGACACACCGAGTCGGTATGTGCAGATGTAAGGAGGGCCACCTCCCTTTATTGTCGTAGGGTCCTACTCACATGCCTTTTCTTTAAATACCACAAACAAATAGTACATATATTCCGGTCTATAGGACGAAAACGCTATTTCTCGTTGCTTCCTATAGGAAATACTATTATTGGAGAATGCCCAGTGATGCATTTATGAAATATGTAAGGTTAAATACCCGAGTATAACCTTGTAAGAGGACGTTGGCAGTCTTTTGTTCGTTTGTTTTGCTTAGTTTGTTGCGCCAACAGAGAGGGAGGGAAAAGAGAAATAAAGGACTTTGGAATTTAGACAAGTGATACGGCTGTCAAGTTACGTTTCTCACAAAAAAGTTCGGAAGAGATTTCTTCTTTAAAATGTAGAATATGAGCGTTTGTCAAGACTCCATAATGTGTATTAGAGCAGTCTATCACCAGAAAATACTGTCCAAATTCTATCACTCAAAAAAGATAGTTATTTCATTTCTACTGCTTACTACAACTATTACAAGCAAAATGACGGTTAACACTTCTTTTATCTAATTAGTTTATTTTACAAAGTCAACACAATCTATACCATAAGACCATGTCATTGTTTAACTGAATTCTATAATCTACAAAATCTTTCTTTGTAGCGTAAGATGTCATCAAACCAAGAACTTTATGGTCTACGTTTCGGAAAGCTGTTTTCTATTGCTAAACTAAATGTTTATATTGACGAATGTACTGAATATTTATGAAGCTCCTAGCGTTTGAACAAAAAAAAAGCTAAATGGAAATAATCTTTTAGAAGAGCTCAGTTGATTCGAGTGAACACTTCATATACAAGAGGTCAGCTATGCAAACTGAGACTTTTCCTGTTGCAAAGATGTGAGTATGAATATTGTGGACATTTTGTCCACTTTGTTAGAGTACCTGTGGCAGGTAAGGCACCTTGTGTGCTCACCTGTAGCTGTGTGGGGGTAAGTGGGGTTGGTCTGGAATAATTGTAGCTAATTATCTGATAGCGGGGGGCGATACGAAATATTTTCAATTGGCGGTACAACAGAGAAGCAAAAGTATCACTTGTTATTAGTGGTGTCTTCTACTAATTAGTATTGTTGACTATAATCAGCTGGTGTGTATGTACGTGTTATGGACGCGTTATTGGTTTGGTAAGATAGATTGTAGCTGATTTTATACCGCTAAACACTGAACAAATAAGTTAATCTAGCAAAAATTAAACAAGGTAGGGAAATTAACACGGAGGCTAATTATGCATGTTTTGATCAATCAGAAGCTACAAATACTAGTAATCCCGAAACGAAGGGCATACATACGTTTAAAGGCATCCATTGCAATTTCTGGGTGACACAAAGAAAATTCGGGATGAAAAAAATCTGTTTGATATTGGTATTTACTGCCATTTCTTGGCACATTTTTGTCATAGTTTTATACTTGACGTTGAAATAACCCAGTAACAAGCTATACCCCCACTAAATAGCTAGAGCCAGCATACGATCATACGAAACAAGCAAAAGTTTTCCGTCAGCGACATCGTATTTTTGCCTCACAAGTCAGTAAGTTATGGGATAGGATTGATTCAACTTGACCCAAACCTTTGAAACTCCAGTTTTAGCGCCACAAAATCGCTTCTTCAGGTGCCTTTAAAGTTAAACTGAGGAGAGTGATCCTACCTTGTTGCCCGTGCCCTGCTTCCTCTTGTTTCAGCACGACTTGCTTCAGTTTGTGGTTGTCCCGGGCTAGTTTCTTACTGGTGCGCAGAGCCTGGATCTCCCTCCGCATGGCGTTCTGCAACTTACTCTGAAGACAGGAGAAATAGTTCAAGATCACAAAAATTCATCTAGCTATACGTAGCTATACGTAATCTATGAGTAACCATTTGATTGCATTGAGTTCTTTCTCTCACCTAGAGCTTTCGGCCAGTCACTCTGGTCTTCTTCAGTAGACTGACCCGGTGAGGCTAAGAAGCCACGTGACAAGCCTCACTGGGTCAGTCTACTGAGGAAGACCAGAGTCGAATGCTCTATAGGTGAGAGAACTTCTTTGTGTTGGATCTAAAGTTTTAACTTTAAACAAAGTAAAATGTACTTGAGCAATGTAATGATCTGACATTAGTTAAGTTTTTGAAATGATTTTCACCTTTAATATTTCGTTCTCTCGCTCGAGTGCCATGAAGGTAGCCTCGTAATCAGCCATCTGGCCGCGCTCCATCTGCCCGGGGTACTTGGGCGAGCCTCCGGAGCCTGCGTCCGGGATGGACGAGATTGACGTGGTCCTCGGGGGAGGGCGGGGCTCCGACATGGCCACGATTGTCTTCTGGATAACCTGAAACATGCAAACATAATTTGTCTGTTATGTATGCTGTGTTCCACTGTAAACATTCGATGTGGGTTATGACGGAAACGACCTAGCTGTGAGCAACAAACAGATATGTGGGGGTCCCTTTTGAAGTGCAGTACCTGTCACTCATTCAGACCCTTCCCTCGACCATCAACCAAGGTCAGCTGAAGTTCAGGAGAAGTCTGACCAGATTTAGGCCACACCTACCTTTCTATACGAATCGAATCAAATTGAGTTAAATTTGAGTCAGATTTGACCCTCGATAAATGGTTGGTAGAATGGCCCGCAGTCATTGATTGTGTAGTAGACTTAGGTATTGAACAATTTCTTACCAATGTCCTCAGACAAGCAAGATAGTGGCATTACCACATTCCGCGATGGTATTATGACAGGTGCCTAGCGACCCAGAAAGCTGTACTTACTACAGAGTGTGTACAGTTGATACAATAACCCTTCAAATAAACCTGAACTTGGGATCAAGGTTGTTAGAACAAGGCCTTACAACAACACACGTACGCTGGTACATACACCTGACTCCTAGCCGTCAGTGTTGAGGGGTTTTGCCGGTTGTTACGTGGTACTTGTCACCCTGCTGTTACAGTTCTCTGTACGGTCTGTTATAACATGTTAACCGCCTTGTCATTTCTGTCTACCGGTAACAGGGTTGTAGGTGCTATTTATAACTCAATGTGTCAACAGCTGGAAAACGCTTGTGAGAAGTCCTCGGAGACTTTAGAAAGATGTAACACCTTAAAGACGACAATTTTTTGGGTCGTAAAGCAAAAAAGTGATCCTCGTTTGCTTTAATATTTTCAAAAGATTAAACCGAAAATGGTTTGGTACAATCGTGCTTCTCATGGATGAGGAAATCTTTCTGTTAAATGGAAATGATCGGTCAGGAACCTTAGGGCAAGCGAATTCTACGGTGGCTAAACTTCTCCCTATTTGGCTCAATTTTACTCTTTTTGAACCCCCGTTGTTAGTCTGATGGATGGTAGTAAAATATAATGTCTATCTTGTTAAACACTCCGTTGTAGCGTTCCTTGTACAACCGGACTTACATTAAGTCACCGTGTTTGACTGGAGATTTCTCTGACAAGTTTTTTGTGTGTAAGTGCGATCTTAATCGCGCTAATGTTCCACTTGGCTGCGGGTTCTCTTATACCAGCTTCTTCCTGCCTGGTTACAGGCCCAACACACACTAGTGTATCCATGTCGGGCGCACAACTTGTTAAATACTAGTACTGTATACTCAAAGCGATTCCAGGGTAGTAAACTGGATTTTCAAAGTCAATTTGCTGTATCCCGTAGCATAATCATATCTGTGAGGCAAAAATGCGATGTCACTGACCGAAAGACAAAAGAACTCCTCACATAGCTTGTAACTTTGGGGCCATTGCAAACGCTTCAAGTATGACATTATGACGAAAATGTGCTAAGAAATGGCAATTTTACCGAATTCTACGATCTGTACCCCCGTATGAAGGCCTGTTGGGGGCTATTCAAAGTATCTATTCATCTCTGACATTGATTGCTTGAGCCATTGCACGGTGCACTGCTTCACTATAGGTTGAAGTTGCACTTCCCTGTTGGCAGGGGCACGACCGTGCACTATAATTAGGGACCGGTATGACAAAGGACGACCGAAAAAAAGAGAGAGAGAGAAAGGAAGACAGAGGCCCTACTGTTGCACGGATCGTAACACGTGAATGACGGGCATTGATCTCAAGTCTACTATGATTGATTATTTCAGAAGCTAGGTGCAATACTGTGTGTCAAAACATCAACATCATGTTCAGAGCAGCTACGACAATTTTACTGTTAAGCCTTAAGGTCAAGCCATCTCCCCAACTATCATATGCCTACACTACACGCCACCTGCTATGAAAGCAAATGATCTCGTAAAAGATGATGGGTAAGGGTGTACCAATGGTGTATCCAGAGCAGAAAATTTTAATAGGCTTTGGGACACAAATCCGTTTGCTGTCAATGCCTATGGCCATGATAGAACAAATGTGTATATACTCTCCAAGCAGAGGTTTGGGCTTCGACGTGGTTTAGTCGTTTTCATTTGACTTTTTCTTTACTGGTATCTTTTTTTCGCCAGCCAAGCTTCGCCAAACTCTGCTAAAGATGCTTGCCAATTTGATACTGTCTTGCACTTTCAGTCACCAAAAGATTGCGAAAGACGTAAAGTTAAGGAAGAGTTTCTCTCACCTGAAGCGCGTTCTGCAGATCTCTGTGCCCGGTGCCCGGTCCGTTCCGTTCGGGCTCCCCGGCTGCTCTCCTATCGGCGGGCAGACTGAGTCTCCTCCGGGTGATGTCCGGAGCGCTGGCCCGCCTCGTCACACCACCAGACCCGCTCAGGTCCTGGATAATAAAGTTTACCTCCTCGTCAACACTCCTCCAATGTCTACTTGCCATGGTTAACGCTTTTTTTTCTCTAAGACTATATCATCAGGAGGGAAGTACTATCGGGGAATAGTTCCTCCTTTTTTCCCGTCACTAGTTGTCGTGGATCGCTTGATACGCTCCAAGGGTAGGAATCCACCAGGTATTTTCGCCGTTTGGGAACAGCACGTCGGTTGTGGTAGTACCCTTGCGTTGTTACAGCACCCTAACTCTAACCTAGCCTAAGCGCTAGTACTAGCTACTGCGGCCGGACCGTTAGCCAGTCTCTTCCTTGTCTTTTGCCAAGACGGTGTGGTCTTGTGCTCGCGACGTCGTCTGAGAAGACTGTCTCACGTAGGTCGTCATCACCCATCGTAGGGTGGATCGTTTGCCGAGGGAAACCCACGGGAGGGAGAGAAAAAAAAGTCCGACAGGGTCCTTGGCCTGACTGCGGCGGTATGACATGTGACACCTGTGCGGCACGGCGGCTGTCGTCCCTCAAGTGACGTGCTCACAATAGTCACCATGGCAACGGACGGGATCGGAGGCGGGGACCCAAGATGGCGCCACGATTTTGGTCCAACCGATCCGTGTAAACTATACAAAGGCTAAAGCAAACCTGGCTCTATTGTGATAGGGGGACAGAATAGTCAGGCGACCACAGACGCCGTTCCATACATTATCACTGATCCCTGTTGCTCCGCGCACGGCTACATCCGTGCTCCCTACAACCCACTCAAAGAGCGGGCACTATGTGTTGTTATTCCGTACCCCCTCGAAGGCTTATAACCAGCTTTAGCTCCCCAAGCTTTCATAACCATGCCTGCTGTTGTTTCAACTCTTTGTGGTCGTGTTTTCGCGAGCTTCTTGTGTACTCTATACTCCCATTGACAGCCTGACATGTGTCATTTGCACGGACAAGGCACATTCCGCTTTAAAGAACCTGTAACAGATAACCATCAAGTACACTTTTCTAACCGGATGGACATGTTTTGCTGCTCTTTAGGACTGTTTAGAACAGTTGGTGTTTGCGTTCGCTGTTTTTACTACACTCCCCTTTTTGTTTGGACACAAACTTGTTGGCTGTAAACGAGCAACGTCTGCGCGAAGTACACATCCTGAGACTAGGTTAGGTGTCTCCGGAAAGAGGACTGAGAAAAAAGCAACCTTGTGATTGTTATCAAGGTCCGGACATAGGATCCAAACACTACGTACATCAGTTCGGTAATCAAATACCACAGGGTATAGAAAACACCACAAGGTGTGCCCGTAAACTGTCTACAACCATTTCCTCACAAAACAGAGATCGGACGATAGGAAGTTCGCAGTGCTGAACTGGCACCGTCCATTACCGTAGTAAAACAGTACTACTATAGTCTAGAACAACTTCCGATCTTTTTCGATACAGGATACAAAAACAATAAATCCTGTTTTAAAAGAGGGTTTGAAAATATCTTCTTCAAGACCACCATGCACGCACATTTTGACGGTGACTTCTAGCCCGTACCAGGCTTCAAAAGTGGTTAGAAAGAGTAAAAAATCGGCCAAATAGACAGAAAACAGGCCACTAACTAGCCTGGCATGTTATCTGTCAATTTTTACTTAAGTTCCAGTCGCTTCTAAAGTCTGGTAGAGGCAAGGAGGCGTCAATTTCCTTCTAGTTTAGAGTTGAGAAGCTGCCTTATTTAATTTATGGGATAGAAATAGTTTTATCCCAACAAGAATGTATTTCGTACGTGTTCTCCAGCCTTGAACTTGTATTATGTCAGCAGGGTGACAGGCAGCTGAGTCAGCCTTTACAAAAGAAACACACTTCCTTTCTAACCACTGACAATAGAATGACTGGTGTAACTATTATTAGTCAGCTTTAAAAAGGGGCGCCAACCACGTGCACTGTTGATACGAAAAGTCAATATGAAGAACTTGACAGAGACGTTGTTTCCATCAAAGGATTACTATTGTAGCTTTGGCAGCCAACCTATCCATTTAGAAAAACGTCAAACATTACTGAAGTCTATTTTCGTACTTAGGTAACGCTAAGTTGCCATGAACGGAGGACACGTAAGACAATACACTCTAGACATTTTTGACAGCCGATATAGATAAAAATCTGATTTAATTACACGATCTACCAAATAAAAGCTGACCTTATGCCTCATATCTGTCTCTAGATTGATTTATGAAGGTATGATATAATCATTACTGCGAAATGAAGTCAACGAAAAGTCAACACACCAGTCATATGGCCGGTTAAGGAGTACGGTCAATATAAGGAATCGAACGACTAAGTCACGTTCTATGGCCTAGTTCTGTAGTGTAATTAGTTTCAGACAATGTACGTGAACATTCTTATAGCTGAGAAAATGCTAATATTTCTACATTACAAACATCGGTACACCTGTGCAACCCCCCCCCCCTCAAGCTATGTCTCATTCAGGCAGCTGCAGGTGTCCATGCAAAGGCTTGCCTCACACGATATATACATGGGTACTGAAGAGCTCTACCTACACTCAACAGCGAGCTTGCTTCATACATAGGAAACTTGGTACGGCGTTCACTTTATATTGGTACTTTAGTAGACATTGTCCCTATAGTATGTATCTTCTGCTTGAAGATGATGGATATTCATGGCTTATTCACGAAATACTAGTATTACTGCTTGACCAAGGTTTATGATGGCGACTATACTATTATTGGTGAAATGCGCAGAAAGATTATCACCATCAACATTATGGCCTACGGAACCATGAAGCTTGTCGCTCATTTTCCTCGCGTTCCATTTGAACAGTAGTAACTCTTTGTCGGTGTTGCGCTATGGCTAACCTGCAGTGCAGCAGCGCGCCTAGCGGATTTTATCGGCACTGCACCAAATCAACAGGTGGGTGGAACAGGTGCATCATGGGAGGTACGAAATGCCATACCTCGCCAAGACAGACATTCAAGGTATTTTCAACAACAATGTCTGTAGCTCTTAAATCACTGCAGTGCCATGGAACAAACAGCGTGCAAACCCAACAAAACGTTAACAAGCCAATATATTACAAGCTGAATTCAGCACTTTGTCATCTCTCAAGCGTTCATTTGACAGAAATGAACGGCTAACGCTACATGATCTTAAATGATCTTTAATCGGTCACTAAATATTTTCATAGCACACATGATACGGTTTTCTAATTTGCAACAAATGGTCGTTGACCTTTAGTCAATAGCCCTCCCTCATTCTTTAACTTCTATGTGTCTTGTTATGCTGGCTGCCTTTGCTTTCTCTGTATAAGAATTTAGTATAGTTTACGCATTTTTGAAGCAGCATAAGCCCTCTGTGCTACCAGTGTGAGTTTTCTATAATCTGAGAGCAAGAAGACAGCGATTGTTCTATAATTACAGGTCTTTATACGAGCTCTGGAATGACTATATCACTGTTCAATCCCTTCAAACTCTACCAGACCTTGCGGCACTGTACTGCTAAATGACGCGTTACTTGATCACAAAGACCATCTAAGCTCCAAGCATCACAGCGATCAGGTTTTTCTGGCCCTGGTACTAAGTATTCAAGCGGTATTGTTTTACGAGTTTGCTGCGACATTGTTGGGCTTGTTGACAGAAAAGGGACGATACATAAAGTCAACAGCACAGTTCAATCGCACAGCGCGGGAAAGGCAAAGAGAGGGTGACAGGGGCAGTGTGTGTACAGGACGAGGAGCTGTCAGGAAGGCAAACGGAACTGTTTGTGCGCCCGCGGCCGCGTCGGCTGAGTTACGGGGGACAATGCAGGTGTAATCAGACTGTTGTCGCACGTGGTGTCTGCCTAGGAGAGAAAGCAGACGTGCCCAGCGGCTTCGCCCCAGTATTGTCCCGTCTAACCCCGGTAAAATTCTCCCTCTACCGCCACAGTCACAAAAAACAAGCTCCCGTCAAGTTGTAGAATTTTGTAATGTGTGAGCTACGTTTGAAATTCATTGTTTACGTGCAACGTCAGAAGGTATAAACGCACCGTCGAAGGCAAACGTCGCAATTTAATTACCTTATCTGTCTTGTTCTGACATCCTCAAATACTTTGTCATCTCTCAAGCGTTCATTTTGACAAACAAGCGTTGTTTTGTTGTTCTATAGAAAGTGGACGTCCAGGAAAAAATAACAATTGATGAGGTGGGCTAGCCTGTTCTGACCACCCACATTTTTCACAACACACCAAAGACTTGCATGCTCCAATTTTTGCATGCTTATTTCGATCTATTGCAGAGACACAAAACTGTCACTAACAATATGATTTAGATCAGTGAACACACGGGTGGTATGTTGAAATGACTCCACATGACGCATAGTAGCTCAACCCAAATCTGTTAAAATTTGCCACACCAAGTACACTTGTTATGACTAAAGACACTACAGAATCTTACTTGAGCTATGAATAATAATTCTCTACCAAAGATATCCGTGTGGTGACGCATGCAACATACACGAGTAATCTATTAACATTTCAGCACGACACTATATATGTTGTTGAGATAGAGGCCGCATTGTGTAGGCCCCGGCCCCAAATCTGTACTCAAATAATTCCCTCCAACAACAATGCCAAGTCGTCGAGTGGAAAAGCCTATGACAAGTAATCAATGCATGACGTCAACGAGCAACAATGTTGAACATGCCGTTCGAGTGAGTCGCAACAAACTCAAGACATAATTTCTTTTCCTACATTTTCTGTACCACATTTTTGGACAGTAAACCTGGCTGTTTTTGCATTAACACCTCACTGAGGAACGCTATATAATAACTAAATCAAGGAATAAAAACGCACGTGAAACAACTCACGATATTTCCCGCCACACACCCTCTGACTTGCCCTGGCGTCGGGAGGTTGTTTGCCTTGCTTTGGGACTGACCTCAAACGGTTAAGTGGGCTCTTATCTAACATCAACCCCCAGAGGTCACGTGACAAAGGGGGGTTGGTGATAGGTCAGAGCCGACACGCGCGAAGAGAAGTGGGGAGGCCCATATCGTATTTCCCAAGGTACGGACGTAAGGGTGAATTTACAAAAACTAGAACATTATAGAGACACTACGCTAATAACATGTGTGCCTTCCCAAAATTACTCTTCTATAAGCAACCGACAACACTTAACAGTAAAACACACAGCTAGTATCTAAGTTACAGCACGAGATGTGCAACAAGGAATAATTTTGAAGTACCAGAACCAAGAACATCAGCAGCTAATAATGTCCTTCATAGGTGCACGAAATTGTACAATACTCTTCCAGATCACGCCAGAACCTTCCACATTCAAAACACTCAACAAAGACAGACTGAAACGCAAACGGACACAAATATGATTATCATGTGACAGAACTGGTAGCAAATTGAACGATGCATATACTAGTATGTTATATATTGTGAACTCAAACCAAGGAGAGGTTAAAAATCAAACTTGTATGTAACCTCCTCGCTCAAGCGTAGTGTAAGTGGACAAAAAATGAGGTGCTTGCTAGTTTCGCTTGGGCTATGAGCCGAAACTCAATTTCAGCTTTAACTTCCAAGGTCAAGTTTTACATTTTCCAAGGAAATAGTAGTCCTATAATCAGTCAGTAAAGGTCGGGTAAAATCCACATGGTTTCAGCAACCTTGAAGACAAGCCTACAGCACACAGCTTACAATGTGTAAAGCCTATAACTCTCCTTCGTGTTAAAAACATACTCATCTCTCCTTAAGTTAAGTTCCTTAAACCTTTTCCTTTTACTTGATGAATCCTTTGTATACCACCGTGCGGGT